CCAGCAATTGCTGACGTTGTCTACACTGCAAGTAGGTGCAATTTTGGGGACACTGGGAAGCCTCACTGAGTGCCTTCCCTTCACATTATCCCAGGAGGGATGCTCCAGAGGCAACAACAGAGAAGGACATGCAAATCATCAGAAAATGTATGTCCCAGGCTATCATCCAGCTGTAACCAAAGCAAATGCAGCATTTCCCTGAGGCTACTCCAGCAAAATATCCTCCACCGAATCAGTTCTTCACAACAGATCCTTTCCACACGCCCAGGGCCTTTGTTTCCAGCCTTTCTCCTCCCATTGCTCTGCTCCCTGCTCCCTAACAGGCTTCAGTGGGATTTCTGGCCATGATAAAACATTTTGTGGCCCTAGAGAAGCCCAGTGGCATCATATGCCAGAATAAAAGCCTGGTACCTGGGCTTGAAGGAGGAGGCTGGTGCTGGTGATAGGGGACGGTATCAAAGCTGAGCACTCCTGGGCTGTGATTGCACTGGCCTGTTCTTGACTCCAGCTTCCCCAGCAAGGTTTTAGTGCATCTCCAGGAAGCTTCAAACCTGGGGCTCAAGGTTGACAGGGATCCTTCTAATTCTGTCCCAGGAAGCAGCCGAGACTCCTGGGGAATCAGCAGCAAGGACCCAGCCCTTCAGAGACATTTCTGCTACCAAAGCTGAGCTCTCATCTCACCTCCAACTCCTGTTCCACCCTCCCTGCAGTGACCTGCTCCAAAGGGTGTGTTCATCCACCAAGTCCTCCAGCCTGGCTGGCTTCAATCCAGCCACTTGCCACTTCAATCCACCCAAAGACTTATTGCATCAGGTCCTCAGGGTGGTGGAGCTGACGGAAAAACACCTCCCTGCCTGCCATGCTCCAGGCACCCCACGCTGCTGAGAACAGTGCTCTGTTCACCACAATCATGGGGGTACCATCACCAGGCGGAACAACATCGGGCTGCAAACAGTCCCCCAAGAAGCACTTATGCACTTCCCAGCCATCAGCTCACTGGATCCCTCTGGAACTCGATGCAGCTGCCAGGAGAAACCCCAACCAAACGTCCCAGGGCTGGGGAGCAAAGTCATGCGGCCCCAGCGCTTGCCTAGGGGTTGTGCGCCCGGTTGGCAGTGTTAGGAGTGGATGCAGAGGGAAGTGGGAATGGGAGGGACAAGTTCTACACAGCACAGAAACGGAGTGGCCTGGGCTGGGGAACAGGGTGTGAAGCGACTGGGAGGAGGGGATGAGGGAGGGTGTCCCAGCAGATGGGGGCTGTGATCGAGGGGTTGGAAGGTCTGTCCTATGGGATGAAGTTCTGTCCCAGGGGATGGAAGGCAGAAGGGACACCACACACTCCCAGGACAAGCTGAGGACACGGACACACACGCACACACACACTGCGTTGCAGGTCCCCAGGGGATTCCTGCCGGCCAGCGCCATGCTCTCTCTGGGATGCCCGAGGTCTCCGGTCCTCGCTGGTGCATTCCCCGCGGCTGTCACTGCCCACGGGACCCACGGGGGACGATCCCGCCGCGGGCCCGGCTCAGACACCGGCGGGTCCCGCGTCCTGACCCCTTCCCCTCTTCGGTACCTCCGCGGCGCGCCCAGTACTCACCCGTGGTGTTCACCCACCCCGGCTCTCACCCACCCCGGCTCTCACCCACCCCGGCTCTCACCCACCCCGGTTCTCACTCACCCGCGGTACTCGCCGCCGGGGCCCAGCAGCTCCCGCGGGGCCGCGGCTCAGAGCCTCCCGCTGCCGCCCCGGCCACAGTAACGGGGGAAGGAGGGAGGGCGGTGATGTCGAGGGGGGGCGCGGCCATGCCTGGGCCACCCCCGGAGAAGCATCCTGCCTTTCGGATTAAACAAACCCACAAGGATCCACCCCAAAACTTCCCAGATGGCTCTTGGGCTCTTCGCAACAGAAAGCAGCTTTTAAAAAAACCCATGCAATGCGGCTGGGAAACGCGTTTCCGCGTTATTCACCCGGGAGCAGCGAAAACGGAACTTTGTGGATAATCCTGAACCAAACCCACCGGTTTCTGCGCTGCCTGGAGGCTGGCTGGGCTCATCCAACCCGGCTGCTGCGGGTGCTCCTGGTGCCGAACCCAGACCCGGGTGCGGGTGCTGTCCCGGCAGCGGCGAGAAGAGCTCAGGGCACGGGGCTGGCAGCATCGCACCTACGCTCCCCTGCTCCATCCAAGCAGTCCTACCTTCCAGCCTGGAACTGCCGCGGTTTGCACCCAACGTACCATGAGCAACCTCAGCTGACGCTTGGCGGTCACATCATCAGGCGTCAGGGATATTTATAGTTTTGATGTGGAGATAGGGTAATAAAGGGTGTCCTGGGTTGCATCCCCAGAGCGTGAGCAGCAGGCGGAGGGAGGGGGATTCTCCCCCTCTGCTCCTCTGTGGGGAGATCCCCCCCTGCAGTCCTGCATCCAACTCTACGGCAACAACACAAGAGGGACGTGGAGTTCTTGGAGTGAGTCCAGAGGAGGACATGGGGATGCTGTGAGGGCTGGACCAGCTCTACTCTGGAGACAGGCTGAGAGAGCTGGGCTGGGTCAGCCTGGAGAAGAGAAAGCTCCTTAAAGAGAGACCTTAGAGCAACCTCAGTGACTAAAGGGGATACAAAAGAGGGGCTTTGGACAAGGGCCTGTAGGGACAGGACAAGGGGGAATGGCTTTAACCTGACGGAGGGTTTTGTCCCTTAATTTTCACCCCATACCCTAATGTCAGGTTTGCTATCAACATAACTTGGAAGTCACAGGCTCATCAGGTTTACTTCCACCTAATTCTGCTGGCATCAAGTTTACACCAGGAGCAGATCTGGCATTTTAGGAAGACTTTAGGACAAAGTTCTTTCCTGTGAGGGTGCTGAAGCCCTGGCACAGGGTGCCCAGAGGAGCTGTGACTGCCCCATCCCTGGCAGTGTTCAAGGCCAGGTTGGACACAGGGGCTTGGAGCAACCTGGTCTAGTGGAAGGTGTCCCTGCCCACAGCAGAGGGTTGGAAGTGGATGAGCTTTAAGGTTCCTTCAAACCCAAACCAGTCTGGGATTCTGTAATAGTAATACTGGAAGCCTCCCTCTGAAGCTTCAGATCAAGTAAACCATTTCTATCTGTACAGAGCCCTTTACTATGGGCTCTGCTCATGCTCTTAAAGAGCACAGGCAAAAGCAGCAAGTCCTATCTTCTCCCTGGACAGCCTTGCCCTCTCTTTCCTTCAGCTTAAACTGTTAAAGCTGGAAGAGTTTCAAGGCACCAAGTTGGATTTTGGCATGAACAAGGTCCCCCCCTTTTCCAGCCCCACTCCCTTTTTGGCACCCCAGGAGTGGGTAGGGGACCAAGATGGGCTTACAGGTCACAAATGCTCCTGCTTAGCGCAGCGCAACAGGCAGCCTCCAGCTAAAAGCTAAGCCTAGTTTTTAGGCACAAACCCTTTCTTCCTCTGTTAACACATCCAGAAAACATCACAGGAAGGGATAAGGTTGCACCTAGAAGAGGAATTAAGTTGGAAATGTGGGGTCTGCACCAGCCCTGCTCTCCTCCCTCCTTGCTTGTGGCTCAAACTCTCACTTGGGGATGAGGGAGAAAAGGGAAAGGCAGGCAGTATTTCAGGAATGCCAATGTCCCTGTTTTCTCCACTATCAGTTTTCCCTGTATTTACTCTCCTGCCCAGAGTGATGTCTGTGAGTCACAGCAGATTCAGCACTACCTGGACCTGGTTTTAACAAGGATAACCAGTGGCTGCATTTCCAGTTCTTCAGAGCAGCAGCCGTGGTGTTCAAAGCCCAGCCCAGTATGGCTCTGGCTGTTCTGCAGCACAGAATTTGGGCTCCTCACTGCCCTCCGGCAGCGTGGTAATTGACAGCAGGGTATTTCTTGGTAAAGATCTTGTCTCAGGGGCAAAATCTCTTCCATGTCTGTCACCAGTGCTGAGCAGCTCAGACATTGTTTTCCGGAGACTGCAGGAGCCTGAAACAACATGGGTGTCTGGAGCATCCCAATGCATTTCTATTTTTGGGCTGTGATAAATCTGCAACCCATAACAGCTTTAAAAAAGGCCCATGCCGATCAGCTGTTTGGGAACTGGTTTGGTATTCAACCATCACACACAACACCCAACAGCCTCACATCTTCCTGCAAACCAGAAGGTTCCTTTTCATCACTCAAAATTGCACAAAGCTTCCAGGTTCCCTTTGGAAAGTTTCGGGCACAAGCTGGAGCACTGACATCAGCAGTGCACTGAGATGGGAAGCGGGCTGGGGGAAGGCGGCCCAAAAGTCCTTGTCATTCGATATAAGGCACAAAGAGAGGGCTGGAGTGTTGTGTCTCGAGTACAACTCAATCCAAACCTCTTTTACAAACGCGACCCACGCACTTAAAACGCAGCAGAGAAGCGCTGGGCAACGGCTTCTTCCCGTTTTTAGAGTTAGGATGACACCCGGTGTTCTGGACAAGATACTGCAACGTCCCGCGAGTCATTGCCCTGGCATGCATTGGGGTGACCGCTCTCTCAGGCCAGACGTGTGCCTGGGAGCTGAATCTGGGGACAGTGTAAGAAATAGAGATGTGCACTTAGGTTTCGGAGGCACTCTTGATCATCCCAAGTCAAAAGAAGGTCTACAGCAGCACTTGTAGCATGCTTCAAGTTCCTGCAAACCTCATGGTGCACATACACGCTTCCTAAGTTCAGGAGCCAGGGAATCTCAGGTCTCACTTATTTTTAAGTAGCATATTTCATTGCAAGGGGAAACAGCGACATAATTCAAACCCAAGAAATCTCTCTACAGTGGCTGCTCTACCCACGCCATGTAGGGTCAGCACCCACCACCCAGAAACAGAAGAAGGAAAAAAGTGGAAAAACATGCTCATCATAGCAGCATTCTCATTTATTCACTTGAAGTGCATTTTCCCCATGAAAAAAAGAGGAAAAACAGTCAAGAAAGCATATTTTACACCGATAAAAGAGATAAAAATGCCCCATCCCAGGCAGTGTTCAAGGCCAGGTTGGATGGGGCTTGGAGCAACCTGGTCTAGTGGAAGGTATCACTGCCTGTGGCAAAGGGTTGGAGCTGAATGACCTCTGAGGTCCCTTCCAACCCAAACCAGTCTGTGAGTCCATGAAAATAAAATATTGTGACTCCTAAACGAATTCAAATGGAAGAGGGGATGGCATCAGAAGACAGTACAGGGGAGGTGAACAAAGATCTGTTTGACTGTGGTGATTCCCCCTGGTTCACAAAGTGTTTTACAACCATAGTACCTTAAAGTTTCTAACTGAAATTTAGGGCAACACCAGCCTTTCCATATCATCAGAGCATAAACACTGATCATCTGGGGACTATGGTTTGACATTTAAGTCCTAAAGTTCTTATTATGAAACTGAGGCAATTCTGGATGAAACGGAGCCTGCTGTGAAGCAAACAAAATCACTTACCACCATTTTTCATCTAAAAATCATAGAGGTATTTCATGCATGGTTATACTCCATTTTAAAACAGCCTGTTGTGTATATTTTGAACAGGGTCAACAGTTTACAATTTTACATAAATAATTTCACATCCTCTCCTGGAGGATTCTTCCATTGGAACACCCTATAAGGCGTTTTAATTGGGATTAAAGATAATGAAATATGATTTTGGCTTTCTGAATGCCTGAGCAGACGCATCTCATCCCCTTGAAGGGAGTTTCAGTAATTTTCCAAGAACACTGCCTGCTCAGCAGCAATTCTTTACAGTCTTTTGTTTTTCTGTACAATAAAAGCTCACAAAAGTCAAAACACCACAAAATGTTCACATTTGATTTGATGCAGCAGAGGAAGACCTAATAGTTACAGTTTGTAAATGTAGCAGCTTTGATCTCCTGGATTCTTCAGTGCCATTTTTAAGGGCAGTGGGGGGCGAAGATCAATTCCCAGTCAGCCAAGAGCTCTTCTTTGCTAGAAGGAGATGCAGACTCTTGGGTCTTGGCTTGTCAAATTCTCAGCCAGGCCCCTGGGCACTGGATTGTCCCACAGCCTACAACAGCAAACATGTTACTGCAGGACTAAGCATGGTGAGCAAGGAGGTGGCATGTTGAAGACAGTGGAAGAGGCAGCTTTGGGATTTCATCAAAGCGGGCCTGACAGTGAGACAGGATTGAGGTAAGGTCATAATGCAGTGACACAGGATTGGGGTATGGCCATATCCCACCATCGCAGCAGCAATGCAGCAGCTGCCTGCCCACTGAAATGGACTCATCTAGCTTGGGAGAGAGACTTAAGGTTTTAAAAAGTCCTCAGGCCACTAGGGTATCAGAAAGCAGAGGAAGAACTGAGTCACACAGAAGCAACCTGATTGATGTGAGCCATCCTTCTTCATCTACCTCGCCTGGTGGAGTCTACCCCAAAGCTGCCCATAGTGGGCCTCCACCCTGTGAAGCAGAGTGCCCTGAGGAGTCAAATGGACTGCATGCTGTGCTGTGCCCATCAAGATGAGCAAGCACACAGGGGCCCCAAGCTCCAGCTGGGACCAGAAACATTCCTCTGCTCTTGGACTGCTCTCGCTATTGGGGAAGACAGAGACAGTTCTGGGGCAGAGACAGTTCAGGCAGGAGCAGACACTTGGCTATGGGACCTGTGTAACCAGAAAGTTCTCAGAGGCACTCTCAGGAGAAGGGCTTTTCAAATGAGTGAAGGACAAGTGGGGTCTCTTCTACAGAAGGTTTCTAGTGGAGTTTGACACACTTGGAGACGCAATGACAAGGAGTGGGAAAAATCAGGCAGCCAAGTATCTGTGAGATACAGATCCCAGAACAGAGTGTGACAGAGCAGGAATATATCTCAGAAGTGAAACCGGATGTAATGAGAGAAAGAAAATGGAAAAAAAGCAACAACTTCCTGATAGGGAGGTTACACAACTGGGTCTTCACTTTTGGCCATTTCAAGCCAATGAGCTTTCCAATCCCTTTTCCCCAACTTTCCTTAGAAGTGGAGCTGGTCTAGAAAACAGTCAGCTTACTTGGCTTGTGTCTGCATTCACTGCAACACCCTATTCCATGCCAGCTAACTCAGGGCAGTAGGCTGGCATGGGTCACAACTGTTCCAAGACTGTCCCAACTTCCCCTTGCTGAGCCAATACCCAGCCACAGAGCTCCATGAGAACTCCTCACCCTATGAACTGAATTTCCGGGTATTTGACAAGTTCCTCTGCCAGTTTTGTGGCCCACAAACACCAATGTGATTTTTCTCCAGACTATTTTAAAAACAAAAGACAGTTTTAAAATCCAAAACCAAATAAAGAGCGGAAAACATCTGAATAAACCCTGACTGCTTCTGCTGTTCCAGAAGAGCTACACTTATGCATAAGTGCAGCAATGCCGTACAACTTACATCAGCCTCACCTGTAATACCATGGCCCTATTTATGCACGAGGTGTTTCTGCACTAGTCCCTGTTACCCCCGGCTAGCAACAGGGCTTGTAAGCAGAAGTCTTGCCGTTGAAGTACTCTAAGAGATCTTACTGCAACCTTCGTGCCAGAAAGTGCTGCTAGCAACTTCTCTTGCTTTAGCCACAACCTTCCTGCTTGTACTTGCAAAACAGCCAGGCTCTACTATACGGTTTCCTTGTTCAAGACAAACAAAACTCAGCTCCCCAGCTTCTGACCCACAGACTACTGTTTTTATACAGCTGAGGGATGTAAGACATGTACCACGTGTTCCAAAGGGAGGAAAGCTCCACTAACAGTTCTTGAGCAGAAGATGAAAATCTCTCCCATTAACAGGGCTGGGCTGTGATGCCACCAGGCCAGCACACAGCATGGATCCCCACTGCTGGCTGCACTGCTGTTCCAGCACAGGAGCTGCATCCCAGCTTCCTGTGAACTCCAGCAGTCCAATACCCACAATCTGGCTGCTCCATCCTGGGGATGGATCGCTTGATTTTCTGCAGGCTTTCACAAAGGAAGGCTCTCTGAACACAGTACCCATGTAGACCATCCCAGACACTGAAGAGAAGTAGAAACTTGAAGGAGGCAGCTCACCTGAGGTTATTAGGTGACACGAGTCATGTTTTACAAATACCAGTTTGTCTTCCCCAACTCTAACAGAAGGCCTTCACAGACTAGCTTCTGCTCAGACACCTATGCTGCAGATGCCTTAAAGAAAACAAAGGCTACTTCAATGCCTATGTATCACCCAAGCAAGGCTGGCCCTCAGTGTATGAAGCAGGCTAAGCAAGAAGCAGGCAAGAAGCCTATCTGTCTGTTTTTCCCAATGTACACTGTCCTTTTGGAAGTCCTGTGACTGAAGGTTCAAAACCAAAAAAACAAGTCTTCCTGGTGTTGCTCTCTAGGCTGCACTCACTCTAACAGCTTCAGCTTTTCCATCCCTGTGAAAGCACTGGCCAACTCTCGGGCTTCTTCAATCTCCAAGGCCATTCCACAACAGTCTAAGACACAAGAAATCCCAACTGTGAGTCAGTAGTAAAACTCAAGGGAACAGCAGCAGTGTAACCCTCACAGATTAGGTGTTTACAAGAGCTTATCACCCTCCTATCATGGCAGGTAAACATTCCTTGGCTCTCCAAGCTTCATTTTGAGGAGTTTCTTCAGTTTCATCACATATTTCCATGTACAGTAAGACATCAGGGAGTGTCACCACAGAGCCTGAGGACTGTGGTTATCTCCAGGTCCTGCAGGCCCAGGGAATGAGATGAAAAAGATGGAAATGACTGCTGAGCACAGACCTCTACTCCAGGGCAACACCAGTAAGTTGCTAGTTATACCAGGACATTTGTAGCAGTGAATTATGTCAATTAGTAATTGACTAGTAAGTTTATCACTAAAAACTATTTAGTGGCAGGTATCAGTAAGTATTTAGAAGGATCAGAAGTGTACTGCAGTTGAAAACAGATGCAGACATTAAAACAAGAGTGACCTGTGTGTTGCAGGGTCTCCCCCCACCCATCCCTACACTCCCATTATCTCCTCCATGGAAGGGCATTGTCAGAAGACGTGAGAAAGTGATTTTGAAACATCATCAGTGATTCCACAGAGCTTCAAGCTGAAGGAGTGGGGAGAGAAAAACAGCACAATGTGATGATGTCAGAACCAGGGGGGAATACAACCAAAGACAGCCATTCTCTGCCCCGGTACTCAATCTTTCAGAGGTGTTCAAAGCATGGCAGCCCCTTGGATAGGGCATAGATACTTCCTTCCCCAAGATCATTTTCTGATAAACTGTTAAGATTAATGGAAAAACTTTGAGAGGCCACAAAAAAAGCATGTACAGTCAGAGAAAAGCCACCACAAAATATAACTATTTGAATTAGAAAGTCGGTAACTAATACCCAGGTTAAATGAAGACTCAAGAGAGCAGGGGCAAGCCAGACTGGTACATGGCAATGCAAGGCCAATTCCATGCTTGGTAAAATGGGAATTACACGCTTGCTATCACACATAATGTGTGTGTCTACAAAATAAGTCAATTCAGCCGTGAACTGCTTGCAGACAGTAACGTGGAGTTATACCTACTAGCTATGACAGAGAGACCTGCGGCACACCATGTGTTGCATGTGAAACTGGAAATAAGAAGTTAAGGATGCTGGGGAGGGACTCTTCATTAGGGACTGTAGTGACAAGACAAGATGAGGATGATCAGGGGACTGGAGCACCTCCCATATGAAGACAGCCTGAGAAAGTTGGGACTGTTCAGCCTGGAGAAGAGAAGGCTGCATGGAGACCTCATAGCAGTCTTCCAGTATCTGAAGGGGGGCTATAGGGATGCTGGGGATGGACTCTTCATTAGGGACTGTAGTGACAGGACAAGGGGTAATGGGTTAAAACTTAAACAGGGGAAGTTTAGATTGGGTATAAGGAAGAAGTTCTTTCCTGTTAGGGTGCTGAGGCACTGGAATGGGTTGCCCAGGGAAGTTGTGAATGCTCCATCCCTGACGGTGTTCAAGGCCAGGTTGGACAGAGCCTTGGGTGAGATGGTTTAGTGTGAGGTGTCCCTGCCCATGGCAGGGGTGTTGGAACTTGATGATCTTAAGGTCATTTCCAACCCTGACTATTCTATGATTCTGTGATTCTATACTGGAGTTACAACTGTTGTGACTTGAGAGGAGATGACAGTAAGTGAAAATGCAAAGAAGACATGCTCTCGAAAGACACAGGGGGCAGCAGTAACTGCCTCACAGCCTTCACAAGGATGTGCTGCTCTGTTCTCATCTGCTAGCAGACACAAACTATGGCAATACCTCCCCTATTCTAACATACTTCACATCTAAATTACCACCACCCTAATTCAACTTTTTATTTAACAATAAACACATTAACAAAGAACAGTGACATCACAGATGCAGCAGGAAGAGGTAATTCACATCACCTCCATTCTCCAGTTTTGTATTTAGAAGTTTTATCTCTCCCTAGGTCACTACATACAGTAATTCAAAGGCATGTGGCATGTGGCCACAGAAAGCCAGCACAGGCAGACAAGGTTTAACATCTGAAGCGATCCAAGCTGCCCTGTAAGTAGAGCACTGCAGTGACCTTCAGTGTCTCCTCTCATCCTACGTGAAGTGTCTAGGAGGGGTGGTGAGACTGTCACCCTGAGCATGGACAAGCCCATGTGACAGCCTCAGGCCTGTGAGCTGGAATAATTCTCACTCACAGAGTTGATACGATCCATCCATTTCACATCATCCCAAGTGGCAGGTATCTGCCATGTCCTACCTGATCTCTTCCAGCAGCCCACATGCCACCAGGGCTCTGGCCAGCTCCATGCCTCCCGCTGGCCCAATGTTATTGTTCTGCAAGCTAACAAACGAAACATAAGCATTGGAGGATTATTTTAGAATAAAGCTGTAATAAAAGCTCATACTTAATTTGCCAAGAAGATAATTGCTAGTTCTTTTGAACCAGCTGGTAACAACCTGGAATCGCTGTGGATTAATCTTAAATAAGGGGCCTGGAAAATAGGGAGGCAGCAGTGGGGGCCAGCAATGTGGCCAGCCAGTTGTTGTCCATAACCCTTAGCCCTAAGGACATGGAAGTTCATGGGTTTGGCCATGCTCACAAGGCAGGAGCACAGTCAGCCAGTCATTGCAAAAGCCATAGCTGCATATTACCACCAGGAGTCTGTCCCCAGCTCTGTACATGTGGGATCAACTTGGGATGAGTGGGGAGCAGCCCAAAGAACAAAAAGCAGATGGGAATTCTCATGTCTGAAGATTTTTTAACATCTTTCCAGTGAAGACAAGAACCTACCCAGAGGACTAAAGTCTCTCAACACTGGGATTTCTTTTCTAAGTTATCTTTTGATCACACCTTAGACACATGCTGCAAGACACACCACTAGGCCAACTAAGCCCACTAAGCTCTTCTAGCTCCCAAATTTCTTGCTTTGCTATTGTAAACCAATATGAGAAAGTCTTGCATGTTAGAGCCTTGGAAAGACTCCATAAAATCTTTAAAAATATAATACAGGATTCAGGGTTAAAAATAAGTCAGAGGTGCCTGCACAAAACAGTGAGAACCACAAAAGGTACCCCTATTTATGTTTACAGTACATCAGAACAAAAGGACAGCCCGAGGCATCAGAAGCTACAATGACCCATCAGAAGAGTTATTTTACCGTATGTACAATACCTGGTTCATATGTAAAGGTAACACTGTAAGAGATTACACAAGAATAGTTGATGTGACTTGAGGCTTCAGAGTAATTGTAGAGGGTTTCACAATCCTCACACACTGAAAATAATGTCTAAACAAGAGACCAGTGCATCACTGCAGTCTATGCCTTTTCCAACGCCTTCTTTCAACCATCTCATATATCCCCAGGATAACCAACATTCCTGGGGCAGAGGTCAACACTTCCTGCAGCACCTTCAGGCTGTCATGTGAGGCAGACAGCAGGCAAGTTTCACTGCTGTCCTGCTTCCAAAACCATTTTGAGATAGCCTGAAAGAAGCAAAAATTAAACGTCACTGACAGAGAACTACAGAGCTTCATTCTCACATGTGTGTGTCACCCACAGGCATCTGTGATCCCCATTCCTCACCCACATATGCATGGGACTATGCTGAAAGGAGCTAATGTCCATGATTCGAAGGACAATGAGGGCGGGGGGAAAGAACAACTAGATTTTGTAATCCTGCAGCAGAAGTTAAACAGGGAAGTAAAATGGTCTTGCACTCCTCAGGAGCACAAGGATTTCCCTTTGAGTTGTCCTGAGCTAGAATTCAACTGAAATTGCAGTTTTGAATATGTGCCTTAGTCCAGTACAATGTAATTGGAAGGTGTGGTGAAGAGCTCCACCATTTTAACTGTAACTTTTCTTCATTTTCCTTTTTAATTTGGTTTATTTAATATGGGAGGGCACACATGTTCTATAGACTGGTCTAGAATGGAATGACTGATAAAACGTCTGGCTGAGGAAAGCCTCTGCCTGTCACCTTCCCTCCATTCCTGCAGCTATATGAATTAATGCTGATTTATCAGGCACCATAAGCAATGTTCAGTCCATATGCCTGTCCCACTGCCCATTAAGACACAGATTCAGCTCTTCCTCAGTCAGGTACAGTTCTTGGGAATCTCAGAGTGAATAACCAATCCCAAACCTTCCACACCCAGCACCACACATACTTATCCTATGTTGCTATGAGTTTTTACCCTGTTTTCCTAAGAACCATAGGTAAAACTGATTTGGGCTTTACTGGAGTCATATCAGATTTGGTTTCTATGTTCTGATTTTTGCCCAGCTTCCTGACGGGATACTGGAAATTACACACTTACAGTAACTCCTCCCTACGGTTGCAATAGGCAAGAGCTTCTATCAGCTTCACCCCTCCTGCAGAACTAGGAATGTTCCCTGAAAGGCTAAAATAAGCATAAAAGACTCTCAGTGACTGAACAAGAACCAGAATGTACCAACTTAAAACTATTTCACTATTTCCTGGGCATGACAGGAGACTTGGGTCAATCATGGACTAAATAGTGGTATGTCCAAAGACTTAGGTTTCTGGAAAAGAGCCTGGGATTTATAGTGTGTCTTTGCCTAGTGGTCAGTCACTCCTGTCCCTGCAGGTACTGAGGGAAGGAGCTGTTTTCCCTCTCCCAGACAGAACTGTGAATTTCCTTTTCTTGTTCAAGTCATTGCCAGTTTTTTAATTGCTAAAGATTATAACGAATAGCCCAGAGCTGAGCCTTAACAAGCAGCCTGGATACTCTAATTTCCACTCCCATGGAGGAGTGAAAATTTGAACCATAGAATCATAGAATAGTCAGGGTTGGAAAGGACCTTAAGATCATCAAGTTCCAACCCCCCTGCCGTGGGCAGGGACACCTTGCTCTAAACCATATCACCCAAGGCCTCGTCCAACCTGGCCTTGAACACCACCAGGGATGGAATATTCACAACCTCCCTGGGGAACCCATTCCAGTGCCTCATCACCCTACCAGGAAATAATTTCCTCCTTATATCCAATCTAAACTTCCCCTGTTTAGGTTTTAACCCATTACCCCTTGTCCTATCACTACAGTCCCTAATGAAGAGTCCATCCCCAGCATCCCTATAGGCCCCCTTCAGATACTGGAAGGCTGCTATGAGGTCTCCACGCAGCCTTCTCTTCTCCAGGCTGAACAGCCCCAACTTTCTCAGCCTGTCTCCATATGGGAGGTGCTCCAGCCCCCTGATCATTCTCGTGGCCTCCTCTGGACTTGCTCCAACAGTTCCATGTCCTTTTTATGTTGAGGACACCAGAACTGCACACAATACTCCAAGTGAGGTCTCCTTCGACCTGCTGGTCACACTCCTTTTGATGCAGCCCAGGATACGGTTGGCTTTCTGGGCTGCAAGCACACACTGCTGGCTCATGTTCATTTTCTCATCGACCAGGACCCCCAAGTCCTTCTCCACAGGGCTGCTCTGAATCTCTTCTCCACCCAGCCTGTAGCTGTGTCTGGGAATCCATGTCTCTGAGAGTGAACCTTGCTTCGAGACTGTCTTCTCACTTCGATAAACTCCCAATTTCACCTCTACTTCTACTAGTAAAAGTAAGCAGTGTAGGAACATAGGGGCCACCACACCAGGAACCCACAGAGCCTGAGGAAACTGCTGTGTGAATATGAGACTTGTACAGTTCCCCACAAGCTTGCAGATTTACTTTCCAGGACACAACAGAGCCAGAGATCTCTGTGCAAACAGCTAGTGAAGGCTGGCAAATGCTCACCATGTCTCTGTGGGTGATTGCTCCAGGACGTGGTCATAACTGTCACTCTCAGAGAGCCTCTGCAATGCCAGACAAAGTTGTTGCGTATTCTAGCTGTACATGGGGAGGGCACGAGAGGGAACACTTTCCACTGAAGATGCTCCAAGGGCTCGACCAGCTCTTCTCTGGGCATACGCTGAGAGAGCTGGGCTTGTTCAACCTGGAGAAGAGAAGGCTGCGGGAGGCCTTGGAGCAGCTCCAGTCCTTAAAGGGGCTACAAGAAACCTGGAGAGGGCTTTGGACAAGGGCCTGTAGGGACAGGACAAGGGGGAATGGCTTTAACCTGACAGAGGGGACACTGAGATGAGCTCTTAGGCAGAAGTTCTTCCCTGTGAGGGTGCTGAGGCCCTGGCACAGGGTGCCCAGAGAAGCTGTGGCTGCCCCATCCCTGGCAGTGTTCAAGGCCAGGTTGGACACAGGGGCTTGGAGCAACCTGGTCTAGTGGAAGGTGTCCCTGTCCATAGCAGGGGTTGGAACTGGGTAAGCTTTAAGGTCCCTTCCAATCCAAACCAGTCTGGGATTCTGTGATTTTGTGTAAGGTCTTCAATTATGCTGAAAGCCTGGAAAGTGGAACATTGTATAAATGAAGCCAGCACAAGGTTTCCCACACAGGCTCCCCCACTATCTATGGCCATAAGCAAAACTACTGCAAACAAAACAGAGAGACTCACTTGATTCTCTTCAAGTTTTGCATTTCCAACAGGACAGCAGCTAGAGTTATCAGGCCTGGATCTCCAATCTTGTTGTGGCTTAAACTTTAAAGAGAAGAAAGGTTGTGTTATAAAAGGAAATTCTAACAACCAGGCAGAGTATAAGATGTTATTTAACATGTCCCATCTGCTGGATGACAACTCTGACCTTGGCAGCAGAATCAAAAGAGCTGCTTGTCGCAACTATTTCATCAAAGACTAATAGCTGTTAATGAGGCATTAAAAAATTGCAAAGAACAATCAAAATCACCAGATCTGTTACAGGGTGTGAAATTACTTCAGCCAGAATACAAAGACAGGGAACAGAGGGTTATTATTTTCCAAACTACTGCAGTGGAGAATGGACAGCACCTGGCTAGAGCAGGAGGAGAAACAAAACAAGCTTGGGGCTGGCTCTAGATTCACATCTTTTCAGAGCACAAGAATGTTGGATCTGGTGCTCTCTCAGGAGAGAGTCTTTGGCAGTGTTCTGCATCCCAGGAAACCCAGAGAAGATTTAAATCCAGAGTATGCTTAAACTATTTTCTACAGGACTGCACCAGAGTGGGGTTAGACTAAATTCTCCTCTTCTGAATGTCAAGCTCTGATTTCCTGTGGCACAAGGTACCTCATACATGAGTGTTTTGCAACCTCCTTCCTTTTGTTACAACATTGTGTATAAGCACGTCTGGGTCTCTCCAAATGCTGGCACTAGTGGTCACCTCTCTGCTGATGAAGGACCACAAGAACAGAGAAACTTACTTGATTTTCTCCATGTAGTGCATATTTGTCAAGACTTCTGTGAGTATGCAGCACCCATCATTACGAATACTGTTATGGTTCAACCTGGAAAGAACATTCATAGGAAAATGGACATTAAGCTCCTGCAATTCAGTATCACAAGTGTCGTGGTTTAAAACCAGTCAGGCAGCTCGTTCACTCACTCTCCCCCTTCTTGCCCTCTCCCTACTCCCAGAGGGACAGAAAGGAGAATCAAGAACGCAACTCCCATGGGTTGAGTTAAGAACAGTTTAGTAACTAAGGTATAACACAAATCACTACTGCTACTACCAATAATAGTAATGATAAAGGAAATAACAAGGGAAGAGAATGAGAATACAAGACCTCATCACCAGGCGACCGATAATTCGCCCCCCCAGCCCAACCAAGCACCAACCGATACCTCCTCCAACCCTGCAGTCCACCCTTTCGCGTAGCTCTCAGTTACATCCTGGGCATGACGTACTATGGTATGGAATACCTCTTTGGTCAGTTTGGGTCATGTGTTCTGTCTCTGCTTCCTCCCGGCTTCCCCTCCTCCCTGGAAGAGCATGAGGCTCACAAAGTCCTTGGTCAGACTAAACCATCAGCGTTATCAACTCTGTTCCCAGGCCAAAAGTCAAAACACAGCGCTGCACCAGCTACTAGGAAGGAGAAAAATGACTGCTGCTGCTGAACCCAGGACAACAAGCCAGACTAGAGACAAGCTGCAGTCACATACTTACACAAGCCTATTCAAAGATGGTGTTACACGAAGCCCCAGCACAAGCTTAGGAACAGCAGCACTGCCGAGTTTAATGTGGCCCAAGCCAAAAGATGAAGTAACACAGGAACAACTAACTACCCACGGGCAGTCATGCAAGCACTCAGAGCAGAGGAGAGCAGGACAAGAGTTGAGGAGAAGTGGGACTCTTTTCTAGTTTCTGTGAATAGTTTTCAGTTTTGTTCTCTAATGCAATTATACTGGGCATGTTTGTATTCTGATGAAATACCACGAGAATCCCAAACCTCTGAAGCAAGAACGCAGCCCCTCATGGAGCAAGGTGCTGCTGTGACCACAAGACGGCAAAGCTATAGAGACACCACCATGCACGGTCCCGTGACACTTTATAACAGAAGGATGCTTTCCGTGCAGGTGCCTGGAAAAGCTTCTTTTGTATGCAGGCTACCAGACCATCCTCCAGGAACGAAATGCTGTCTCTGGGATTGCTGTACAGGAAACACAGCAATCTTGTCCCTAGCTGGGACAAGATCATGCAAAAACCACTACCAATCACTACATAATTTCTTCACCAGACATTCCATGCCACTGACTTCTGATCTCCGTCTTGCTCGCTCATCATTCTTGCAAATAGAAAGGAATTGTTGCTTCTTCCCTATCTGAAGTCCCCCAGCCACTAGGAAAATGACATCTGTATAGGGTGCAGGCAGAAGAGAGGGTGCAGTTCAACTTAAGCTTCTAAAAAGACCTGGCAGGCACTGGACAGCCTGGAAACAACACTCACTTGAGCTCTTTAATGGCCTGGCAGTTCTGCAAGCCCAAGATCAAGTAATCCATTCCAGCTGGCATAATACTGCCAGATGTCAGCCTGCAAAACAGCAAGGATCAAATACAGAGGTCAGGTCCCAGCACACTGAGAAAGAATTTACTCCACTGACAGGCCAGCTGCCCTAACACAAACCCCAGCCAGCACAGACATCAGGAAGCAGTACATTTGGAGAGATTTCCACACCTCCTCTGTACAGGACTACAAGGACTAAGTAGTTAAGACATGTTCACATGATGTACATGTACCAAACAGCATAGTCTCTGCCTCAGCCAAACAACCCCAGCATTTGCCCCTCAGTTTAAGAAGGACAGGGACCTGCTGGAGAGAGTCCAGCGCAGGGCAACTAAGATGATTAAGGGAGTGGAGCATCTCCCTTCTGAGGAAAGACTGAGGGAGCTGGGTCTCTATAGTTTGGAGGAGAGGAGATTGAGGGGTGACCTTATTAGTGTATATAAATATATAAAGGGGGAGTGTCACGAGGATGGAGCCAGGCTCTTCTCAGTGGCAAACAATGAAAGGACAAGGGGCAATGGGTACAAATTGGAGCACAAGAGGTTCCACTTAAACCTGAGAAGAAACTTCTTCTCAGTGAGGGTGACAGAACACTGGAACAGGCTGCCCAGGGAGGTTGTGGAATCTCCTTGTTTGGAGACATTCAAAACCCGCCTGGACACGTTCCTGTGTAACCTTATCTAGGTGTTCCTGCTCCGGCAGGGGGATTGGACTAGATGATCTTTTGAGGTCCCTTCCAATCTCTAACATACTGTGATACTGTGATACTGTGATTTCACTGGGCAGAGATGCCCTTTACGAGCCTGCCTCTTTGTTACAGGCAGTTGAAGAGGGCTGTGAAATGGACTGAGTGGCTGCATGAACACCTCAGAGCAGCTTCCAATATCTGAAGGGGGCCTACAAAGGATGCCAGGCAGGAACTCTTCATCAGGGACTGTAGTGACAGGACAAAGGGCAATGGGTTCAAACTGAAACAGGGGAAGTTCAGGTTAGATATAGGGAAGAAGCTCTTCCCTGTGAGGGTGATGAGGCCCTGGCACAGGGTGCCCAGAGAAGCTGTGGCTGCCCCATCCCTGGCAGTGTTCAAGGCCAGATTGGACTCAAGGCTTGGAGCAACCTGCTCTAGTGGAAGGTGTCCCTGCCCATGGCAGGGGCTGGAACTGGATGAGCCTTAAGGTCCCTTCCAACCCAAACCATTCTGTAATTCATACCAGAAAAAGCTCTTCCACACAGCAGGGTGATATAAACTTGTTTGCAATGCAAAGAAGAGCTGCGGTCTCAGTCTCAAATTGCTTTCACTTCAAAAAAGAGGAGAGGAAAAAACCTCAAGAGACCCTATAACCACCTTTGGTGTGAACTGCAGAGATCTGCCGAGTTTGCAACTTAGACATGGCCCAGGAGAGATCACAGAGCTGATGGCCATATTCCTGACAAAAAGTGTTTCCGAGAGGATGAGTTTGGGTTGAGCAAATGATAAAGATGTGGAAGAGAACCCAGCATGGACATGCCCAACTTCTTCAGCTCTGGAAGAGGTAGCAAAGAGACCCCTGCCCATGACCAGAGGGGGCACTGCGCAGGCAGAAAGGACCTTCTAGCTCACTGTAATACGAAGCGGGGGCAGGACATGAATATGTATAGGCATATGGTGCAACCTTATAAATGTAGAGGGAAACAACACTGAGGCACGGATGACTTTGAGGAATTGTCCCCGTGTGTCTCAGCGCTGAATAAAAGCATACCTACTTTACAACTTTAACGAGTTGTGGAGTCAATCCGAGCATCAATTTGGCGAGCCAGCCAGGAGGCCTCTGTTCAGCTGCAGGATCGGCTGAGGGGCACACATCCTGGGCGCCCCAGGCAGCTTGCCTGGAGGAGCTCCGCTTCTCGTCCGCTCACTGCAGGGACAGACAACAACCTGTGCCGGCTGCGGAGAAACGGTATGCTTGGGATTTAGGTAATTTAGGGGGCCTGTAAGGCGTACGCGTGGCCGGGGCTGCTGGTAAGGCGCGCAGAGACGTCTGGCGCACAGCGTAGTTCCCCTTGGCAGGTAGGGCTTGCAAGCAGGGAGCTCGCCGACCGATAGAGCGGCCGCTAGCGACCCTGAGGGTGCATCGGGTGAGTCTGGGTTTTTGCTGCATCCCAAGTTTTGGGAACCAGGATGGACCGTGTTCTCCGCGAGGAGAGCGGCCGGAGACGGACGAAGCGTCTTTGTTTTGTGTTGTGTCTAAGTGCTTTGTGTGCGTATATGTCTGTCGTTGGTGTTAAAGATTACAGTGCTTAAGCGATGAGGGAGGAGTAGACAAAAGTAAACTGTTGCTACTGGGGGGGGGGGGTGTGTGTTAAGAAGAGTTCCCTCTGCGCCCCAGGGGCTGTATAACAGAAATATAACCTCTAATGTCTGTAGTCCTACTCTTGAGACCTGGACTTTACACGCAGTACCAGAGGCTTGTAGCCTCACATATGGGTGCATAATAACTTTTGAACAGTGGAACCTGCCATGGATACTAGGACAGTGTAAATTTTGATGGAACCGAAACTATGATCCAACAACAGGGGAGCTGATCTGAAGAACCCAGAGATACTATTTTACTGAACCCCCTGAGAATATCATAACACTCGTGTGTAGGTGCTCTCATATTTTTTAAGTGCATTTGCAGAGCACGGGGAAGGAGAAGCTGTAGAGATTTGTAAAAGATTGTTTGAAATGGGAGCCGGTCAAAACAAGGGAATTCTGAAGAAAAGCCCATTGAGTTACATTTTGGCACATTGGAAAGAACTGGGAGGGTCTTCTGGGGGCTCGGTAAACAAGAAAACATTGATAAAATATTGTAACCAATGGTGGCCTTTATATACTTTGGAAGATCAGGAGAAATGGCCTAAAAATGGAACTCTGAATTATAATGCATTGTTACAATGAATGTTGGTTTTGAGGTGGCCACGAAAATGGGATTAAGTACTATATACAGATATGTTTCTCACTTGAAGAAACCACCCGGAGTGGCAGGCAGAATGTGAAATTAATATAGCTCTGCCAGATCCCTAATTTTGGCTTTGGAAAAGGACAAGGAAAAACTGAAAGCTAAGCTAGAGAGATGTTGTTCGGCCTGTGATATTGGGGGAATGATGTTTAGAAGTTATAAATAGGAAAATTATATAACACACATACTTCCGAGAGGAGCACCTTCTATATCTGTCCTATCAGGTATTGATAAGGAGGAGGAGATTGCTGTCACCTGCAACAAGCAGTGCATTCACATTAACCAGAAGTGCTGCTGCAGCGGCAGGCATCTGAAACCTCTGCAGAGCAGGGCGAGCAACTGTGAGGAAAAAAAAAGGGGGGGAAACCAAGTGGGAAGGAGGGGAGCTCAAGCAGCTCCTGTGTTTGAGCACGGGATGGGTGCTGGGGCAGGCAAACAAGTGGGAACAGACATGTTGACAGACGGTTGTTGAATAGATGTGGACAGAAGTGCTTTGAAACTGATGGAGGAGGAATGTCGGGCAAAGGTGGGGGAAGTGGGTTCTTCTCCTATGGGACCGGATCGGTGTGTGTGTGCTGTGGGTGTTTTAAACGTTGGAAGTGAGACTGCCCTACGGGGGAGGGAGTGCCATGGGGTGGCTCTGGTAGCTTAATTGGACCTGGGGAATCTACCCTAGCAGATCCACTGGTTACATTAGAACTATCGACTAGAGGAAATAAAGTGGAATTTTAGTGGATACAGGAGCAACTTATTCGGTGTTAAATCAGAGGGAAAAGAATTTGTTACAGATGTGGGAGCTACTGGCCACCAAGGAAAAAAAAACAGGGAAAAAACCCCGGAAAAAAAAAAAAAAGTGCAAAATGACACAACCCTTAAAGTACAAATTGGGATAACAAATAGGAATGCATAAAATTTTTATGCATGCTAAATTCTCCGAAATCTTCATTAGGGCAAGAAGCAACATTTAAAGAAGGCAAAATGGAATTAAGAGTTAAAAATCAATTAATTGCAGTTTTGAGTCTATCTTTAATTCAACAGAAAAAGCAAACAGGAGGACCTCCCTGAAATAGAAGAAATCCTAAATCCAGGTATATCTGGGAGTATGGGAATCTGAAGTTTCAGGTAAGGCGAAAAATGCTTTGCCTGTTAAAGTAGAAATAAAAAGGGGGACCTGCCCAATTAGAATAAAACAATATCCCCTAAAATTGCAGGAAAGGGAATTAAAAAAAAACAAACCAACATTTATTTTAATTGTATGTGAATTGGAATATAATACTCTTATCTTGCCAGTAAAGAAATAAAGTTGCAGATTGGTTCAAGATCTCAGGAATCAACAAATTCATAGAGGATATTTATCCAGTAATAGCTAATCCATTTTCTTTATTGACTAAATTGAATCAGAAATGATTTGCCGTCTTGGATTTAAGGACTCTTTCTTTTGCTTACCGTTGGCCAAAGAAAACCAGAATTTATTTGCTTTTGAATGGGAAAATCCTGACACAGTAAGGAAAACCCAATTAACTTGGACAGTATTATCTGAAGGGTTTTAAAACAGTCCAATGATTTTTCAAAACTAGAACTAGAATCATGGAACACCCACTCGGATGGGGACTCTGTTACAATATGTGGATGACCTATCAATTGCTACTGAAACAAAGGAAGAATGTGTTCAGTGAATGGTGGGGTTATTGAATTTTCTGGGACTGAATAGTTATTGGGTAACCAGACAAAAACCCAACTAATCCAAACTCGAGTTTCCTACCTAGGATATGAAATAACAGGAGGACAAAGAGAACTTGGAACTGCTAGAAGAGAAGCCATTTGTCAACAACCATCAAGGAGCTCCAGATGTTCCTGGGAGTGACTGGATGATGCAGACTTTGGATGCATGATTATGGTGTTCCGGTAAGACCCCTAGATGAACTGTTAAAAGAAACCCCTCTCTTTGGAATAGGCTGATTCATCAGAGGAGGGCTTTAGAAATTTAAAAGCAGAGCTAATGAGAGCTGCAGCTCTGACTTCTGGATATGACTAAATCCTTTTGGCTATATTCCTGTGAAGAACAGGGAACAGCTTTGGTGGTCCTTACTCAGAAACTAGGACCGTATAAGAGGGCAGTGGTGTATTTTTCAAAACAGCTGAATGAAGCAAGCAAAGAATGGCCTGGATGCCTAAGGGCTGTGACAGCAGTTGTCATGAATATTGAAGAGGCTCGCAAATTCACCTTGGGACAAAGGATTACTGTACTAGTGTCCCATGTGGTACCAGCAGTCCTGGAACAGAAAGAAGCCCACTGTCATGTTTTTTAAAATACCAAGCCACCCTTGTGCAACATCATGATACAGAAATTGTGGTCAGTGTTGTCAATCCAGCATCCTTTTGCAGAACAACCAACAGAACTATTCACACCCGACTGAACTGTATATTCAAGCCAACCAGATTTGAAAGAAACCTCTGGAACATGCCCTGCAATTGGCTAAAGTTTGTCTTTATCCTTTTGTAGGATAAATCTTTGAACTGATTCTAAATATGCATTTGGTGTGGTCCATGCACAGCGTGCCATCTGGAAAGAATGAGGACATTTGAGCACACAGGAGAAACAGATTAAACATGCTACAGAAATTCTATGACTACTGAAAGCTGTTCAGCTACCTGAGGAAATAGCTATTATGTATTGTTGAGGGCATCAACAAGGTGAATCCGATCAGGAAACTGGAAATAATTTGGCCAACTTTGAAGCCAAATGAGCAGCTGAACAATCTAAACTCATTCCCTTAATCCCTGATGGCAAACTAACAATTGAGAAATCTAAATCTAGATATTCAAAGGAGGATAGAAAATTGATTGGAGCTCTCAAAGGAGAGGAAAACAAACAAGATTAGGTTCAGATACCTGATGGGCGAATTATAATCCCCTATAAACAACTCTGGAAGCTAGTTCAGGAAGAACATAATAAAACTCATCGAGGTAGCAACTCTTTGTATAAAAATACTTAGATGAACAAATTGAAGGAAGGAATCTATATAACATAGTTCAATTAGTGACAATGTCAGCTCTGTCTCAAGAATAACCCTAAAATTGAAAGTAGAAATCAAATTGGTACAACTGGGGAGGAAGTTATCCGGGACAGCACTGACAGATCATTTTTTCTGAATTATTGAGACCAATATCTGTTGGTGTTAACAAGTAATTTTTCAGGGTGGCCAGAAGCATTCCCTTATAGAATAAATAATGCAAGACAAGTAATTGGAACATTGTTAAACGGTGTAATATCTTGTTTTGGAGTACTGGAGGCAATTTCTTCTGACTGAGGCTCACCCTTTAGTACAAAATAGTTACAAGAAATTAGCAAAAATTAGAAATAGATTGGCAGCTGTATGTTCCATACAGGCCTCAGGCCAGTGGGCAAGTAGAAAAGATAATCAAACAACAGATTAGTAAAATATGTCAAGATATTGATACCAAGCCGTACCACTGGCTCTACTGAGAATTTGAACGAAACCTTGGTCCAAAGAAGAGGCTATCCCATGTAAAATTTTATATGGAAGACAACATCAGTCCCAATTTAAATGAGAAAGTCTTCTGGAAGTGGGAGAAGGCTATCTCCTAGAGTTTCTGATCAATCTGGGAAAGCAATTAGAAGAAATAAGAGAATACTGAGGACAAGAGCGAGAGGTTTGGATTATCCGACTCACCCTTTTAGAGCCAGAGACTGGGTTTATGTTAAGAATTTTTCAGGAGATCCTCTACAGGAGAAATGGAGCAGACCGTACCAGATAATATTGACCACCTTTACAGCAGTGAAGATAAAGGAACAACCTGCTTGGATACATTATTCAAGAATAAAGAAAGCACCAGAATCAGAGAAGACATAGAGGATCGAACCTTCAGGACCATTGTGTATGAAATTATATCAGTCGTAATTTGGATTTATGTGATAAGTGACATACCACCTTGGGACTAATACTTATACCTGAAATTAATGCAGAATGTTACTAAAGTTGTTAATTGCAGTGACTGTTGGGTGTGTGCACAGTTGCCTGTATCAGGAGAATATCAGGGCCTTCCATTAATTGGCATTCCAATTTCCAACACTATCTCATGGACCATTTTAAGATTTGGAACAGTTAATCCTAATCCAAGTATTATACTTGTATACAAAGATGTATTACACCAGGAACCAGAATAGGAGACTATGTTTGTTTAAATGCCACAGGTGTAGGTCACTATTCAAATTGTAATCACACTATTAATACAGATGGTATTGTGGTTCAGTGGTGGCCTGTTCCTGAAGGGAAAGGATGGTATTGGTTAAGCGAGGGTTTAACCCTATCGATGAAAAGAATACTGCATTTCATAGTTTTGTGAGATGGCTAATTCCATCTTTGGGAATAAGTGAATTAGAGAAGGCAATCGTAAGTATCTCAGCAACCATGGAGGAAATAGAAAGTAAAACCATTTATATAATCCAGGTGGAACAAGAATCAATGAAAATTTCTGTTCCTGAAACAAATCTGGAAACAAACTAAAATATTTCATAAAATGGCCAAGGGAATAAATGTAGAAAAAGTTACCCTCATGGTTACCTGATCTCTCCTGGTTAAGGCAACTGGTTGCAGGAATATTAATTCTTTTAATATTGATTACTTGTGGTATAACAAAATTTTCTTCCTGGAATTGTAAGTGATCTATGATAAATTATGGAGATTGAAAAAGAAATTAAATGTAAATATCAAGTAGAAACAGGAAACTATTTCAAAAAGATTCTGGATGGTAACAGCAGTATATAAAATGTTGCAACAGAATTTTCAAAAGGACAGAAAAAGGGGTATAGACATTTGTTGGTACTAACAGACACCTTTTCAGGTTGGCCAGAAGCCTTTCCAACTAGAAGCGCACAAGCCAGGGAGGTAACAAAGATATTGTTACAGGATAGTTGTGAGGATTTCGAAGGTATGTGCTGCATGAACTTATCTGACCGTTCTGAATCAATTCATGCTAAGCTGTGAAAATCGCAGGAAAATATGCAAGAGCTTAGAATTGTTGGAGGCGGATTGGGTGAATGGCTAAATAACCTAGGAGTTACTGGATGGTTCAGGGAAATACTTAAACAAGGCCTTCTAATCTTAGCTACAGGATTACTCATTTTAATGATTGTACCTTGCATGATACAATGTATATCGAAATCAATTCATAAATCAATAGAAGGAACATGGATAGCTATGTCATAAATAACAGAGTAAAAGAATTTACTCACTTTATAGAAAAAGGGGGGATTGATGCAGAGGGTTGTACAGGGGGGTTGTACAGGGGGTTGTACAAGGGTACCACAAGTACAGCAGAGACTCCCCGGCCGCCCAGCGCTGTTTTGCTTGCTGTCACTTGCTCAATAAACCAATTTGATTCATTGGCCTGGCTCTAGTCAATTTATTTGAGCCACCATTCATCACACATGGAGAGCACATAGGAATCGGGAACAGGTAGAAAAGAAAAAGCTAAGTTGTGCTGTAGGTACGGCTGCGGTGGTTGCTTTGATATTGGAGCAGGAGGAATGTCAGGCGGAGGTGGGGGAGTGGGCTCTTCTTCTGTGGAACTGGATTGGTGTGCGTGCTATGGGGAGTTTGGACACTGAAAGTGAGACTGCCCTTGGCAGGAGTGCCATGGGGTGGCTCCAGTGACTGAACTGGAACTAGACTGACAGGGACTGGGGGAATCTTCCCTAGCAGACCCACTGGTTATAATAAAGCTAGGGGACACACACAAAAAAAAAAAAAAAAAAAAAAAAAGGAAGAAAAATGAAGTGGAATTTTTAGTTGATACGAACGCAACGTATTCAATTTTCAACAAAGCTTTAATGCCTTTGGGGGATGATTATATTATGCTAAAAGGGGTGACTGGACAAAGTGAAAAGGCTTATTTTTGTAAACCATTAAAATATCAATTGGGAAAACAGTGGGGCATCCATAAGTTTTTGTATATGCCTAACTCCCCAAAAGCTCTTTTGGGGAAAATTTGTTAGAACACTTGGGAGCGACCATTACTTTCAAAGGAGGCGAGATCACTTTAAAAGTAAACGACCGACAGTATATAGAGATGTTAATCACGTCGAGGGAGAAGTCAGGGGAGATATACTGAATCAGGTATTCCCAGGAGTATGGGCCACAAATGTACCTGGAAAAGCCAAAAATGCGCCCCTGATACAGATTAAGTTCAAGGAGGTAAAACAGCCAGTCAGGATTAAACAATACCCCCTAAAAAGGGAAATTAGGGAAGGAATTTGCCCAATGATTGAAAATTTCCTACAGCTAGGACTACTAAAAGAGTGCCAATCTGATTTTAACACCCCTATTTTACCTGTTCGTAAACCTGATGGGTCATACAGGGTGGTACAGGACTTACAGGCTGTTAACAAAATAACTGAGGATCTTTACCCTGTAGTAGCAAATCCATACACTTTGCTAACATGCTTAACACCAGAGCTAACTTGGTTTACTGTTCTAGATTTGAAGGATGGTTTCTTTTGCCTCCGTCTCCACGAAGCCAGCCAGAAAATCTTTGCATTTGAATGGGAAAGCCCTAAGAGTGGGCGGACACCCAGCTCACATGGACGGTGTTGCCTCAGGGATTTCAGAACAGTCCCACCCTGTTTGGAGAACAACTTCCAAAAGATTTAGAGTCCTGGGAAGCCCCACCAGAAGAAGGGAAGTTACAGCAGTACAGAGGCAACATCCTAATAGCTACCCAGATAGAAGAGACCTGTGTGGCCTGGATGGTATGACAGGATGGTGTAGATTGTGGATCTACAATCATGGACTAATCGTTAAGCCTCTATATGCACTAACCGTAAAAGACAACAAGAATCTTCAGTGGACAAAGGAAGCCACTCGAGCCTTCCACCAATTAAAAAAACGCCTTGATGTTGACACCAGCCTTAGGACTCCCAGACGTGAGTAAACCATTCTTTCTTTTCTCCCATGAGAAGCAAGGAATTGCCTTAGGTATACTAGCACAGCACGTGGGCCAGTACCAGCAAGCAGTTACTTATTTTTCTGCAGCTGAAGGATGGCTGGGGTGCCTCACGGTCGTTGCAGCAGTTGCACTAAACATCCAAGAAACACGCAAATTCACCTTGGGCCAGAAAATGACTGTGCTGGTGTCCCATACAGTGTCCGCAGTGGTGAAAGTGAAAGGTGGGCACTGGCATTCCCCACAAAGGTTTCTGAAATATCAACCATCATGGTGGAACAAGATGATGTAGAGATAGTGGTAACTAACATTGTCAACCCAGCTCCTTTCCTCAGCAGAAATGAAAGAAAACCCGTACACCATGATTGCCTGGAAACTATTGAGGCCACATATTCCAGACGTCCAGATCTGAAAGATACCCCTTTAGATGACGCAGAAACCTGGTTTACTGATGGGAGCAGCTATGTCAGCATGCTGGATATGCAGTTACCACCTGCAGAGAGGTAACAGAATCTGGACCTTTGCCTATAAACACCTCTGCACAAAAAGCAGAGCTGATTGTGCTGACTAGAGCCTTAGAAATAGCGAAAGGGAAGAATATAAACATCTATGCAGACTCAAGATATGCATTTGGGGTCGTACATGCGCATGGAGCCATTTGGAAAGAAAGAGGACTATTGAACTCTCAAGGCAAAAACATCAAACATGCACAAGAAATAGTGAGACTATTGGAAGCGGTCCAACTACCTGAGAAGGCAGCAATCATGCACATCAAGGCACACCAGAAGGTGAGCTCAGAATTAGAAGAAGGAAATGAACTGGGAGATAGAGAGGCAAAAGAAGCGGCAAAAGGTGAGATAACAATTGAAGGAGCTTTAATTCCTGATGGGAGAATTTCCCTGGAAGGTAAGCCAAATTACAACAAAGATGACCAAAAATTAATCACAGACCAAAAAGGAATATTCAAGGAGGACGGGTGGGCCAGCACAGCACGGGGAAGAATAATTGTCCACTCCTCTCTGTTATGGTCACTAATTAGGAATGAGCATCAAAAAACGCACTTACGTAAATATTTGACAAGCAAAATTATGGGTAGAAATTTGTATGCTACTATCCAACAGGTAACTCGCCAATGTGATCTCTGCCTCCAAGCAAACCCGCAAAATAATCCTAAACCCAGAATGGGTCAAACTGGGAGGGGCAACGGACCAGGACAGCAATGGCAGATCAACTTTACAGAACTGCCAAGAAAAGGGGGGTGTAGATATTTGTTGGTATTAACAGATACCTTTTCAGATTGGCCAGAAACCTTTCCAACTCGAACTGTGAAAGCTCTAGAAGAAACGTAATTGATGCGAAGGACATATGCCTTGATACAGAACAAGGCACGTGTCATTTTGAAATCCATCCAGACATCACTCAAAGGACTGTACTTGTATATATATTGTACTTGTATATATTGTATATATGTGTATGCTTAAGAGTTGCTTGTGCTTTTGTGAGGATAAATAATGATAATGATATTGTGACTGTTAAGAAGCATTCTAATTTTTGTATTTGTAATTTTACTAAGATTACTGGGTGTGACTTTATATATTCAGCTACCCATCAGCAGCTGCATTTTTACATCAGACTCTGTGCAACGTGCACTGAGATGCATGACCTTAAGTGTGGCAGTGTTTGATACTTCTCACAATGCCTCCCTGAGGTTAGTAGTGACAAATCACAAGTGGGGAACACATCTTTCCACAGTTTTTGCCATCTCCATGGTACCTAACTGGAGACATGTTCAGTCTTCTACAGAGGCGCACAGCAAGCATTCCTCCCAGAGACGCTACAGACATGTATCACATACACATCACACTGATGCTCACATGAAGATTATCACCCAGAATTTGAAGCACACATTTAGAAAATGTGGTGGTTATGGTTCAGTTCAGTTGCTTGTGCAGCAAATTCTGGTGCAACTCAAGGTAATCATAGAATCCCAGACTGGTTTGCATTGGAAGGGACCTTAAAGCTCATCCAGTTCCAACCCCCTGCCACAGGCAGGGACACCTTCCACTAGACCAGGTTGCTCCAAGCCCTGTCCAACCTGACCTTGAACACTGCCAGGGATGGGGCAGCCACAACTTCTCTGGGCAACCTGTGCCAGGGCCTCACCACCCTCACAGTAAAGAACTTCCTAATATCATGAGCAGTCCTGTAGCCACTCAAGAAAAGCACAGGCTTCCGCCACCCCAATATACCCAAATGGTACTCAGTTGCACTTAGGCAGCTGAACTGAGCCACAAAGCTTCAGCTACTAGCCCAAGTTCCTTGACCACCAGCCCATGAGTTCTTCATACAATAGGAGATTTGGCTACCTGCATCACTCAAACCAAGGGAATTATAATTAAGTGTTGTATGTCAGTACCTGCAGGCTTCTCATGGTTGCTCCTAGATGCAAAAAAGCATTTTCTCTTGACCTGAAACAAACACAGAAGACAGTCCTTCAGCTATGCTCCTCAAAGATGTCAAGCTCTGAGAGTGAGCTGCTGGGCTCATCTTACTGGATTTCTACCATTCTGATCCGCTCACACAGGTTGATGGAGTTGATAAGTAGGACAACGCAACACGGTGAAAATGTGTTATTCCTAATACTGAAAAAGGAGGAGCAAGAAAGAAGAATTAAATCATCTCCGAAGAAAAAAGGTTTCAATATACACAGCCCAATTTTCCCACTGTTTACTTGAAACGCAAAAGGCTGGATCCACCTCGTTTAACTCAAGATCAGTATCTAAAGTTTTGAGCACTGGCACTCAGCATTCCTTTAAATAAAAGGAGAGTCTCGTTTAGTCTCCTTTCACTAAAAAGTAAGTACAGACCAAAGCTCCTCTTCAGAGCTACTGACATAGAGATACTCCAGACTGGAAGCAACCTCATGAGTGAGCAAATTCAGTTTGTCAACATCTGCAGATTCCCCTTGCTACAATATCTTGTGAAAGATGACCAAGCTTGTTATGGGCTTTTTATCCATGTGGTGGGAGTGCCTTAGCCCCTCCTGACAGCACCACTCTAGCCTAAATTCCCAAACTAAACAGCTGATACGCTGCCAGGAAACATTTTGGTACCAAGTGCGGCAGGATGCCAGATCCATGCAGGGACAGAGCTGTGAGATACAGACCACACATGTGTGTGCACGGGTGTGTGTCACCATGTTCAGTCAACAAGTCCTACATGTGCTATGGCTGCTGGAAGTCCTGTTGCATGGGACCTGCTAAGTGAAGATTACCTGGGACGCTGGGCTTAAGGTGGGTATTTCTCCTCCTGTCCTTCTTTTTCCCCCCTCTACCAATCATTAAAGAAAAAAAGGTTCAGTGCTGCTTTGGTTCTAGAAACAAGACACGAAGAGGTGTGAAGGAGTTTCTGCATTTCCCTTGCCTAGCCTGTTTATCTACAATTACAGATTAATGCTCCTAAAATATGCTGTGGTATTAGCAATTTTCAAACCAGTGTTTCCTGGCAGAGACCAGAACAAGGACCCCAAACATTACCTCAGTAGTTTCAGATGACAGAACTACAGCAGGAAGCTCAGTAATGTCTCAATGCTCTGGTCACATGATGGATTTCCAGACAGACTGTAAAACATGGAAGGAGACGAATTCTAACAGAAACTGGGACAATCTGTAAGTATTTTTATAAACTATACATGGATGTGCACACACATGTGCATATGCAAATTCTGAAAAAGGACATGTCCAGAAATTCCTTAAAATTTGAGCAAGATTTAGTCCCACCAGGCTGATCTCTGTGTTTCTCTACATCCTACAGCCAATTAACACTCCAGTTTTAAGAGTCTTACCTTTTCATTACTGTAAATTTATAAAGTGATGCTACTGACATATTTAGTGCATGAAACATGGGTATTATGCTGGTTTTATTTGTTACTACTCCTGGAGTGCCCAGCCCTTCAGGAGTTAATCTCATGGTTTAGGGGGCCAGGTGCTCTTGCTGCAGCTATGCTACAAGCCAGGGTCTTGAGGTGACACCACTTGGGTCTAGCCACATGACTGAGGAATATTATGAAATGAATTTGTGTTCTGAGATGTTTACACACTGACATGATAGAGTTAGGAAAGTGCATGTTTGAAACAGAGAGGACAGTAGAAAGTGTGGGTTTATTTAAGCACCTGGGTGAAGCTTTGCAGGGATTTCTAGAAGGCCATGGCTAGAGGAGAGCCACTTTACACTGGCTGCTAACCTGAACACTGACTGTACCTGGAGGATGGGAAGACAGATAGACAAACAGGGTTGCCAAGTGCACAACACTTACTCAATTTGTGTCAGCTGGGGACATCCAGCCAGTGTCTGGCACAGCCTGGTCACATCCTCTGGACCCAATCAGGAGTCCCTGGGACTGAAGCAAACAAATCACTCAGGAGCTAAACATTCCCCATGACCACAGTAGAGCAATACTCCCATAACCTCACATCCTAGGAAAAGACTTACAGCAGCTCTCCTGCTTCCACTACCCGTATTTTGTTACCCACAGTCTAGGACTGAGAAGTCAAAACCTGTGATAACCAGATGATTTCACCAGCTCTGAGCTGATTCAAGAAATCCAGTCCACCAAAATAGCACGTCACTTTGGATGTTGCCTCCCTAGAGCCACATCATTGCTACTTAAGTTGTTTGAGGAAACTGGGCAATTCTTTTACTGCTCAGCACTGTCCTGGTTCCCTCAGAGAAAGGCTGGGAATTGTGCCTCCTATGTCCTTCTCCAAGAAACAAATCTCAGAAACCTTCCTGGGTGACAAACTGGGAGGTCTCCATGGGACAAATGTAGTAGCCAGACAGATCTGTATTCCATTTTGTATGGGTAGAAGTTTCCTCTGCAGGAAATCAAGGCCAACCCCTCAAGCCCAGTCAAGCAAAAGATGTCCTATTGTTTTCCTATCTAAGCATGTAGCAATGGAGATCCCAAGTCTGTTCCAAGAGAGTCAGACCTCGGACTTGGTCCTTCACCCAGCCACCTCTGGCATATCATTGTGTCCCTCCACTGACCCCAAAGCACAAACATCTGTTGGCCTGGGTTGATGTCAGTTGGCCCAATCTCTTTAAAGCTTTGCCAAATTACACCAGCCAAGACACCTTCCCTTGTAAACAAGTATTACTCTGGGGACTGGCCTCCCGGAGCAGTTTCAGCAGGGAAGAGGATGGTAGAGAGATACATTAAAGATGCACTTTTTCCAGTGGTGACTCATGGGGAATCAGTCACGATGCGATAAAAACACAGGAAAGCCCCTCCCAAGGCAGGCAGAGCACAAGACAGCTCTCTGAGGAGACAGCTGGAGGAATGGGTATGTTTCACACAATACACTACAGGCACGGACTCCCCCAGCCACCTCTCCCTACACTCCTTGGTGACAAAAGGAGTGTTTTGGGGGCTGGCCATTCCAAAAGCACTGTCCTTCTGCTTCATGCTTGGGATGCATGAGGAAATCACTTCTCCATCTGCTGGTACTTGTGACTCTGGGGAATGAATGGTTTATTCCCTGAGGTATGCTCATGTTATTGCCCCCATGGAGCTGACTCCCCAAACTGCAGCTGGGGAAGAGGGTGAGGTGTTGGCAGTGGCCTCATACTCATCTGCCTTTTCCCACCACCTGTCAGAATTAAGTTCACATCATCACAAGGGCCTTATATCACCCCTTTTCCAGTCTCCAGAGCGTTCTGCATCCACTCAGCTATTTGGGCATTTGCTCTGCCCTGGCCCAGGAGGGATATGGCTTGCAGCCCTGATTAGCAGTCGGATACCTCTGTCTGCTCCATATTCTCAAGATGTCGAGCCATGAAACAGCTCACCCTGCTTCCACCACCCTGACTGGAGCTTGGAGCAAAATGACTCTGTAATTGTCACACCCTGGGGACATACATTATAATCTAAGATTTCATTAGGAGTTCAAAAGGATTAGAGAGAGTGGGTATAATTTTACCTGATTCTGTCCCAGAAGGCTATGTGAACCACCTGGCTGTGTCCTAAGCTGTAATCAGAAAAGAACATAATTAGGTTAGAGTTTGAAGACATGTTCCTGTATCACTCCTAAAATGCCACAGCTTGAGGCTTTAAATAGCAAAAAATAGGAAAAGTACTCCTGGTCATACCTGAGGTCCATTATTGTAATGTCTTCCAACGTAGATAAAGACTGAGCTAAGAAAAACACAGAGTCCAGGGAGATGTGGTTGCCATTAAGTCTACAGGAAGAACAGATGAAATCAGCTGCTGCAAGCAAAGCTATCAGGAATTTACACCGCATCACCCAGGCCCTTCCCAAATGTGCTGCCACAACCATACCCCCACAAAACCCATCCATGAGTAAGGAGAAACAGGAGCTACTCACTTGAGAGAACTTAACCTTTTCATATTCTGGAGGAACTGAAACAGCTGCAGCAGTCCCTCATCTCCCAGATAATTATTTGATAGGCTAGGATTTAAAGAAAGACATTTAATTTTCATAGAAAACAAGAATAGGAATAAACAGCTCTCAATAACAGGAGCTCTGGAAACAGCACGGGCACCCTAATCAAACCAACGCATGCACTGCCCCTCAAGTAAAGCCTACAGGAAAACCAAAGACCGGGAATAAACAACACAGGACAGCCAAAAACCTAGCTCAGGGCTCATTCTTTTCTCATGCCCGCCAAGTGACCCCTCGGGACTGAGGGGTCCTTTTTAATGCAGTTACCAGGGACCAGAAGTCCCCAGCTGTGAGAAATGACTATCATAGACAGAGGAGCCCTGGGTTAGTCCTGGAGAAGGCTACTAGGCTATTATAATAGAGCCTAAGGATTACAACAGGCTACAGCCCATGTAAGATCAAGGGACACAATTGCTTAAATAGAGCAGAGGCTAAAAATCTCTTCTACAGGCTGCCAGGCCTAAGGGAACAGCCAGCTCTCAGATGGTGGTGCACAGACTACAGGCTTGTGATGGTCTCTCTTCTGGCCTCAAAATCTAGATGTAGGGTGTGTGCTGGCTAGCCCTCCCATCAGGGCTGCATTTGCCCATCTCTTAGTGTTAGCACAGCACAAACGGAAAAAAGTGCTTTGGTGCTGAAGGTCCCTGCACACAATACATGGGATCACCACCAAAAACACAGATTCCCAGCCTTGGTTTGGGTGGGATTCCTCAGTTTCTACAGCTTTGCCCTCAAATGGCCCAAAGGCAAAAATGACACGACGTTTCCCAGCTTCTGCAATACCTGAAGTCAGGCTAAGTGATCAGGCAGCCCCTTTCTAAATTTATGTCCTGCAACCTTTGCTCTAAAAGAGCATTAGAACTGTATATCTCCTTGGCAAAGGATATCAGCCCAGGTAAATCTATGCCCTTCATGAGGTTACAACTCTACCACATCTCCATATAACACTGCAGAACAAGCAACTGGCATTTTCTCAGTATCCCAAAGAACTGCAGATAAGGACCATAACAGTCAAGAAGAACTCACTCCAGCTCAGAGATGCTGCTACATTCCCTCAGGACTGCATACAGCTTCTCCAGGTCACTGGCTTGAAAATGACTATCTGTCAGTCTAGGAAGAAAGAAATCAACAGTCTAGGTCTGCAGGATTGCAAACAAGATTGTAAACTTCACTCCTTCAGATAACCAGAGAATAAAGGAGGAGACAGCAAAATAAAGAATACCCTTGAAAAGGCAACATCAGCAGCTCTGTCACCACCAGCTCCCGCCAGCTCCCATGGGAGCTGATCTGGTAACTGCACAGTCACCCTGCCAGCTCTATGACCAAGACATACAACCCACAGTCTATTTTAATGCCTGTGGACAACCAGAGATGCTAGCCACAGAGCTTCTAGTGTTAGAAGGTGGAAATAGGAACACAATGACAAATGACTGACCGAATGGGCCTTTACCAGCTCTCTTGTGCTTCACCATTCAAACGTGAAGATAGTGGTTATGTCAGCTATAGAATCCAGAGACAAGACATGCATGAAGTATAAGGAAAATCTGCCATGGTACCTTATTTTTTGTGGGGTAGTAGGAGTCTGGTTGTCCTCTCCGTATTGTTGGTCACCAATGATGCACACAGCCTCTTCCCTAAGCGAGCACAAACCCAGACAAGAGTAAAAACTTTAAACACTTCAGCTATTTGGCAGTCCCTAGGGCTGCCCTGGCTCTAGTCCACATCCATATCTTGCCAATAGCAAGCTCCTCTTTCTTTCAGTGATTAAGCAAATAGCTGAGCATGCAGGCAACTGGGGAGAAGGTGAAAAACCAGATTACTCATCTAAGCTACAGTTTGGAGAATTCAGCTTTTTCCTAAGCATGTTTTGTGAAAAGAGTCCATTCCTGAACCAAAGCTTGATTATTCACAAATAAATGGAACATCCAAACCCTGAAATATCTCAGTTTGAAACATCACCTGGTACCTTAAAGGAGTCACAGATCATATGTGCCAGGCAGTCACTCTCTTTCAAGCACAGCCACAACAAGTGGGTTGCATCCCATGATGGCCCTGCTGTTCCTCCCTGGCTAAGAGGTGGGCTGTGTACTTTGAGAAATGTTATTTTACAGTAGGCTCAGTACATGGAGAACAAGGACATAAATAAGTGAACCTACGGCTCCAGGAGCAACAGGAAACCATTTCTCAATCAAAACATTTGGGTTGAGCTTTTCTGACAGTAATTTTCTGAGGGGGAAAAATTAAACTCCAGATTTACTTTGATTCAGGAGTACCATGATCCAGAATGCAGAGTGTAGTGAACTAGAGGGTTTTAAGAGCGCAGGGATGAGTGAATCTTTTTGCAAGTTGGCCTGGAGGTGTGAGGTTCACTTGGGTTTTTGCTCTTCAGGATTATCAGAGAGCACAATTTAGGATGGTGTGGGTTGAAATGTCCCCCAGAGACATGAAACATTAACACTACAGAAGGCAGAGACAAATTTCAAAGTGGCTAAGGAAACCAGGAGAAAGTACTACATTTAGGTTCAGATGGAGGGGGGGAAAGAACCGCTGTTGATACCTAACTGGGATGTAAGAACTGAGATGCTGAGAAAACACCATTTGTGCACACGCACTCTTACCTAGGAGGAAGGGGAGAAAACTCTCTGTCTCCTGTAAACCTCAGGACTGAAGTCTCACGACAAAGGCTGTGAAGAAGAGAATAAATCAATGTCACATTTTAGTTACTTATTGGAATTCTTGGGGTGTTTTTTTTTTTTTTGTTGTTGTTGTGGCTTTTTTTTCTCTGCAATAACTTAAAATACTCCCTACGCAATCAAAAAATAATCTTTAGTTTTAAGTACTGGTTGGATCACACTATGCAGTATCAGATGCCCCGCTTTCTCTGAACCATTAGAGAAAGTGCAGACAAAATGGTTACACTTGAACTCCTGAGGATTTCAAAGAGACAGTAATAAGAGAATTTAAAGCTCCGTTCCAGGAGATGTCACTGGTTCAATATGCTACAGAGATCCTCTCTCCAGAACTTCCCAGAGCAGAGAAAAGAAGAGTCTGTAACTGCCCACCACATGTGAAAGGACACATAGTCCTGTAGCTTCTCAAATGCTGGTTAATGGCTCAGATAAAAGAAGCTCACAGCAATGTATTACCAAGTGCCTGTGTTAGTAATCACCTCTGGACACATTCCTCACCTACCCCACTTTCAGGGTAACTAAACAAAAACCTCAGAACATAACTCTCAGACTTGTAATTTGGGATTAACCCCAGGAATGATTCAAGACTTACATACCTGAGTTGTACATCCATCATCTTCTGGCAGGTACTTACCGACTTCAATAGACTGAAAATGCCATTAACAGAGAGGTGGTTTTGACTGAGACTAAGAAAGGCAATATAGAGAATTAGCTGCCTGTAGTACCTCTTCTCTGGAGCTGGCTGAGAGAGCTGGGCTTGTTCAGCCTGGGAAACAAAAGGCTCTGGGGAGACCTTAGAGCAGCTTCAGTGCCTAAAGGGGGCACAAGAAAACTGGAGAGGGGCTTTGGACAAGGGCCTGTAGGGACAGGACAAAGGGGAATGGCTTTAACCTGACAGAGGGGACACTGAGCTGAGCTCTTAGGCAGAAGTTCTTCCCTATGAGGGTGCTGAGGCGCTGGCACAGGGTGCCCAGAGAAGCTGTGGCTGCCCCATCCCTGGCAGTGTTCAAGGCCAGGTTGGACACAGGGGCTTGGAGCAAGCTGCTCTAGTGGAAGGTGTCCCTGCCCATGGCAGGGGTTGGAGCTGGATGAGTTTTAAGGTCCCTTCCAACCCAAATCGCTTTGATTCTATGAAAAGGGACAACACAGAAGCCATCTGTGTCCCTTCACTGGCTCAGAGGATTTGCTGGAGGAGCCATGCCTCTGGGATGGCTCCAGGGTGCCTCCAGCAAGCAGCTTCCTTAGCAGGTTATGCTGAACTGGCTATAGTTGTCACAGGAATCAAAGGTTGCTCAGCATTCACCCACACTGCCCACCCCACCCCAATCCTCACCAAAATCACTAACCAGGATCTCACTAGACATAACAGAATGCTGAGACCCTTCCTTGGGGTCAGGCCCCATGTCTCTCTCAGTATTCTACATGCAACATCACCTGTTTCCCTCCACCCACCTGCAGCCTCTCAACAGTAAGGAAAAGAGGCACTTACTCCACTTCAGAGAGAAAGGGACAACTCCGGAGCATGGCAACAATCTCCTTTGCATGTTGGGAAGACAGGCTGTAGTCCTGCAAGCTGTGAACACGAGGGTTTAATGAGCAAGCAGTGAGGGGACAGCGGGACTCACGCACTTCTGGTGTCTCTCTCCAAGTCAGGGCACACAGAAACAGTGCCAAGAGAGATCTTTTGCTCTCTGCTGTCACAGCCCTGGGCATACCACTCTGTCCCTCTGTAGCTTCTCTGCAAAGGAGTGCAGATGGACACACTTGCAGAGTGCTGTGTGAGTGCAACACCTCGTGAGAGCTGCCTGTCACCACAATCCACGAGAAGGGGATGGATAGAACTGTTCCTGTTGTACAGAGGAGTGACAGAAAGACGAGGGAGGGGAGGGCCATTTCCCAACATTGTGATGCTCAGATAACATGCCTGAGGTCTATTTTGAGAAAACCATTACTCTCTTCTAGAGCCCAAGCAAGAAAGAAAACTATTATACCTTTGAACATATATCAATATGGACACTACCAAGGGAACTCTGCCTCTCTAGGGCTGCTCTCTAGAGCCTAACACACAAGAAATAAAGCCACTGGCTGGCCAAATAGCATTTTCTATTGTTATTTTTATTTACTGGTTCAGGTTTATATAAAATATTTTTGTATGTGGAAGCATATTCTCTCCTTAAGGAACAACACAGATGCTACCTTTGTCCTTCTATAGTAGCTGGCATCTGCAAATCACATTCACCAGCAGGGATTTCAATGCCTTCTCTTATCATAACTTCACTTGTCTAGTTGGAATTACATGTCCCTTATTCTCTTCCCACCTCAAATCCAAAGATCTGTAAACAAGCAAACTATCTGGCTTTTAATATGCCTTCACAAAATACGTGATTTGAATGCTGGTTAGTATTTTCTGGAGTTTTTATCTGGAAGAAACCACGATGTCTGTTCTGTGCAACCATTCCATGCAAGGTTAAGTGATTTTCAGGAGCCAGAGGAACTCCATTGGGAGATCAGAGCTCAGGGATTTCACTGTATATTTGAATCAACTTGATAACTGAGCCCCAGTTCAAAGGCACTACCAAGATGCAGGATGTTTTGCCTCCATGTGGGACTGTGCCATCACACAAAGGGATAAACAAGCCCATGTGTGCCAGGCTGCCCACAGCATCTGAATAGGATGTTCAGGCATCTGAACAGTAGCTTCTACAGGGCTAGGCTGAGCCAGTTTATACAGGCTTACGGAATACTGGGAGGTCTCTCAAGGACTGCATGACATGGTAGTGAGCTCCCTAGCAGGGAACAAGTGATTCTTTTGTAGTTTCTGAATTAAGGTCAAACCCACCCTCCCCTCTAAAGTACACACGGGCAGGGAGAACACAGGAGCCAGACAGAGAAGAAGCAGAGTCTTTTCCTTCATTCAGCCTCAGACTACATTGTTTTTCAGCAGTTTTGCAGCAGAAAATCAGCACATCAAGCTTACTCAGGCACTAAGGTAAGCCTTTGTGGAACTGGCTGGTAGGTCTGTGTAAAGACCAGCTATTTTGCTTACATTTATGCTTGCTCAGGTGGATTGAGCTCTGCCAGCTACAAGGGTAGAGACAACCAGTTCTGTGGCTGGAGTGGTTTATGGTGATGCCAATCTGATGGTTTGAATCAGCCTAACGTTGTATATAGCACAACCCCGGGTGCAGTTTCTCATCTTGGAACTTTCCAAGATGGGCCAGAACAATATATAATCACAGTGTCCTTCCTGAAAAACAAATCCAAGCCAATGTTAGGGCAGCGGTGGAAAGATGACATCTCTTTCAAGGAGGTGCTTTACAAGGACTGAAGCTGTTGCCTGGAGGCTAAAGAGGGCCTTGGCACCTTCCACACCAGCACATTGCCACAGGAGAGCCACAAACCAGGCATGTGGCTACAGGGCAGCAGGACACCCCTCATGCTGGAGCTGTGGTACACACACCACAGTAACACAGGTAAGAAGACTGAGATGGGGTTTTTTTGATTTTTTTTTTGCAAGACCAGCAGTTTGTTGGAAAGAGGATCAGTAGAAGCTCCATTCCAGCAAGAAAAATATGAAAAAGCTGCCTGCAATTCAGCTTCCCTGAAGTCACAGTAAGGATTCATTTTGGCTGTTAAACTTACAACATATGACAACCATAAGAGCTAGGATTTAAAAGTTCCATCTTTTCTTGGTCATTCTGGACCCATGAAAACACCAAAACCTGTAATTTAAAGGAGTACAGAGCTACAGCTACTTAAATCCACACCTTTTCAGTAAATTTAGTTGATTTGTAGCAAATTCATGCTAGCTGGTAAAGAAGTTGATGTATCCAGAGCTTGAAGGCAAGTTTAAATTCTATTATATATGAAGTATTACAGCCTGCTAAACAATTTCTAGACCAAGGATAAAACAATCTGTTAAAAAAATGCAAAGAGTAAGTCCATAATGTGATGAATTCAAATTTTGTTTCAAACAGAAAACAAAAAGGAGTAAAATTAATTTTTGTTGAATTGATTAGCCAACAATTAAGCTGTAAAGCAGAGTCCATTTAAAAGGCAGCACCTAAAGAGACAACATACAGCATGTATTGATATATGTATTGATAACTGGCAAGCGGCTCAGTAGCGTTCTGACAAGTGATGACTTCCTTTGCCAAAGTGAGAACAGCAGCCAAGGCAAGGTTGTGGTTGCTCAGACTGTGAACATGAGGAAGAAGACAACCTCAGCTGCTGGACCCAACATACCTCTTGCTGTAATAATAAATCCCATTGAAGTATGGCACGTTACAGTAGTCTGGTCTAAAACCCATTATAACACCCCTGAAGACACAATACTAGCAACCTCTGAGGAGATATTCTCTAATTGCATGTTTATTCTGTTTCACTACTTGTTGGACCTCATTAAATATGAACCGTGAGGTCTTGTTTCTCTTTCTGGGATGCTTTTAAACACTTCTAATCATACTGCAAAGCCATTAATTAACTCCTGCATGGGATCCAGCAGTAATTGCAGGTATTTTTGATTCACCTGCTTGCACCTGGGGGTATGTGGAAGACCTTTAAAGAGGCACTCCCTTTTAACTGGGGTAGGAAGGCAGTTCTGTGGCTTTGACTTACAGCGTGCCTCTTATTGCTGAAAATCCAAGGGAACAGTGTCTTTTCTGTTTCTTCCTTTGAACTGTAGCTAAAATCCACATGGAAAAGGGATGTTGTCAGTGGTTTTGTCCACAAACTGATTTATCTAATACTGTTCCTGGTTACAGTATCAATAGTTGGAATTGTTGACCTTAAAGATCTTTTCTAACCTCAACGTTTCTATGTTCAGCTTTGTGACTATCCTTCTGTAATGCGAACTACACTGAGACTCCAACACTTGCAGAGGCTCCGCTCTGCTTTGTCTGCTTCTGCTTAAACTGCCCCTGCTAGCTTCCCAAAAGCTTTAAATCCCTTTAAATCATAAATCACGCTTGTTCTCTCCACCTAAAAAGATGCAGACCCATGCTGGGAGCCCTCTTAGCGGTCAGTCCCTCTCATTCAGCACTTTGCTGTTAGTGTTACAAGGAGTACAGAACAGGGCTAAGAAAAAGACTGGACAGACAGGAATGGAGCCATCCACTCTGATGCAGAGGTGAGGTATCTCAATCATAGCCTAACCAAGCAGATGGGAGGTGAGGCAGTAGAAGAGGAAAATGCCATGGCAGGCACCAAATTGGGCACATGTAATTTCTGGAGAGGTGTCAGCAGTGCCACAGCTCCCTTGAGATTGTTTTTAAATGCCCGGGTAAAAACTGTGAGGCTGAGCCTATCTCAGACTGAGACAGGCATCATGCACAGCTGGGCTTGCATTTCAATGTCTGTGCCTCAGCTTAGTTCCCTACATGCCCCCCACTGTCACCTCTAAAAGCGAGTGTCACCCCAATCAGAGACATGCAGCAGCTCAGCTCCGATGAGGATTTAAACCCTCTCTGATGCTGTGCTTGGCTTCATAGTGACTACCATTCTTACTAGGTTTAAAACATTTTTACTCACTCTGTTTTCTTCAGCTTTTCCATTCTGGAGAACAGATCCACTGCCCTCTTCACCGGCAGATTCCATATCCGACTGTCCTGCAAGCTACACACAGATTCACTCTTATCAGTACCACACGCCCCCAAGGAATGAGCAGTTGATTTGAGGGTCATTGCCACAACACACTCACTTTATTTCCTCAAGCTGAGGGCACTGTGATGACCAAGTCAATGATCCTCTTAGCTGTGATGCTCTCACTTCTCAACCTGGCAAAAGAAAGAACCACTCAAACCAAGCAGAGGGAAGACAAGCACCCCATGCATCACACGGCAAGCCAGTCTCAGACGTGTGCCTGCACATCACCACAGACAGGAGGTGGCCTGACTCTGCCTCCTGCAACCAACTTTATACTCCTTTTCAAACAGGGCAATGCAATACTCTTGATGTCAGCATAAAAGAAGAGTCACGCATATCCATGGTGCTCCACACAGCACTGCGTTACTCTCTATACAGTGCTGCATGGAGAGCAGCCTTGATTGAGTTGATGTAATTAAATTGCAAGACAGAAACAGAGGACAGAGAGAAAGAGACAAGGCTTTCACAAGCAAAGACTCATTCTAGTGTCTTCAGGCTTGTTATTCCTCTTAAGCTCTTTGACAGAGCAGCAGCAAAGTCGTCGCCATATCTCCTACTATGGAAGCTAAAACATGAGGGGGAAAAACATAAACACAACAAAACCCAAAATAAATAGCTCACAGAGCAAGTTAAATCACCAATTTTTAAAAAGCACTTTATTTCTTTCTTTAACATTGTATCGGGCTCTTTTTACAGAGCATCTTTATCTTTTCAAACATCAGTGCAAAGAAAACCCCAAGCCGTTAAACTTACACATCAACTGTAAATACCTCAAGAGACAGGTTCTGCCTTTTGGTACAGTGACACCATGCGTAGGTGCTGCCACAGACAAAGAGTCAGCCTTACCAGTGCTCCAAAAACGTAAGGACCCTGGAGACAAGGGTCACACAGGGACAAACCAAACTCCCACAAACAAAGAGTGTTTCTCAGCTCCCACATGATGAGCTGCTGAGTTAGGAAAGCACTGATTTTGGGCCAGATACTTTAAACTTGGGCAGCAGAGTAGCCAGAGTTGTTCAAAATATAAAAGACACAAGGTGTTTAGGGAGAGTAACTCTTTTATAGAAGAAACTGGTGGTGTTGAAAAAAACAAGCAAACAGGGAATCTTTCAGGCACATGAGCACTCCTTTGTATCAGCTGTGGAAAGTACTGATTATGGGATGCATTGGTACACAGCACCCTGGGCTGCAGGTCTGAAACAGCATGACTGGGGGTCCTGAAAGCAGAAACCCACCTATGGCCCTGTTGCCCCAAGTGCCCCCATCACCCTCCCTTAGGAGGGGTCCTGGAACCTCCAGAGGGGGTCAGGAACATGCTGCACAGGGGTGGTGGCATAATGTATATGGCCCACGGTCGCTAGGAACATGCCTGAGGTGATGCTTGGGGTCCCACAGCCCTTTGCCTACCCTTCCAAGATACACTTCTCAGAGTGCTGGTATCTGCAGACCATAACAAAAGCAGGCATGGACTAGAGTGAGTATGAGCCAAGAAAGAAGCCCCCAAAATCCTGTATTACATTCTCCTAATGGAAGGGAACAGCCCAACCATTTTGGTCACCTACTAAGCTGCTTGTGGGCCCCCTGCACTGCCCTATGCCTGCATGAGCCATTTACAGTTAGGTTGTACAATCAGAAAGCTTTTCTGACAGCAAATTGCATGGTATTCCAGTTCTTCTTAATGGAGGCAAAGAACAATCAGTGCTGTCCTTTTTACAATGGTATTGCTAGCTGGGAATAGCAGTTTTCATGTCTGTTTTTTGCTCCTCCGCCTCACATCAGAAAACTACATTCTCTTCAGGGCAAGGTAATTCTCCCCCTTGCTGCTCCCCATCTTCTACACATTAGCAGCTCTACACATACTCCTCTGAAGTCAGCCACAGAATCACAAAATGAGACCTTTTCCATGACAGGATCCAAAGAAATCCTCCTTGAAAAGGCCTTCCAGCATTACAGAAAAGCACCAGTAGAGAGCACCTGAGATTGCAGTTGTCACCTTTTGTTCATCTGGTTTATGGTGATTTCATACGTTCTCATTTGTTTGCAGGATTCACCCTGCCTCTGCACAGTCAAGAAATACCCATCATTTTCTCTCTTCTCTACTACACTAATTACCCTATTGTTTGATTGTTTCAGTCAAAACAAAGAAGCATACAAAAATATCTTTATATTTATATATATCCTTAACATCCTTCCCTCACTCATAATTTTATTTCATAAATTGCTTTAGTATCAAAGTTATGCTGTTCAGATCAGCATTTCTCACACCTTCTTTCTCACCCTTCTAAAGCAAATCCAGGCTCTCCCTTCCAACCCCTTACCCTTTCTCCCCACCACCAGCCCATCACACTCAGTGTGTTTACCTCAAGTGCTCTACAATTTTACAGCTGGCCAGAATTTCCAGACAGTCAATGTCCATGAGACATCCTCTAAAATCCAAACGAGTCAAACCCTGGCCCAAGTTCATGACAGAAGCACAGCCAACATGTCCGGGGTTTTTGAACTCATACTTGAAATTCAGCAGGCTCCCGATGTGCTGGACTACTTTGAGGTCCTGTGTTTCAAAAGTGCAATGGCAGACCTCAATGACCTTAGGCCCTGTCAGATTAGTGGCTGCCAGTTTCCTGAGAACCTCAGGATTACATCCTGCTTATCCTGCATCCAAGTTTCATCTTGTTCAGCTAGCAGCATGAGAAATGTCCTACGTTCTTTTGACAACAGGCCTGAGAGGAAGATGTGCAAACTCTCCATTATCCTGGTCTTTGCCTTGTTCTTTAAAGTCCATTTTGACTTCAAAAATAACTTCTTCCTCAAGTAATTCTTGTCCACCCTCTTACTTACCATGAGACACAATGCTGCAAAAAACTCTTTCAAACTCAAGTGGACAAAGGCATGGCCAACCTCTGGGCAAGCGCCACTCATCTTCACCTCAAAAGCAGTCAGCAGTCCATGTAAGGAAGCAAATTTCTTCATGTGCTCTGGAGTTTCTCCAGCATAAAATACAAGCTTTTTTCTTCCAGCCCTTTCATTGCAAGATCATAGAGACCCAAAATGGCCTTTTTGTTGCAGTGCAGCTTAGCCTCCTCACCACCTTCATGCTCTCCCTGCTGTTTACTTATGAAGATGAGAAGCGTTTTGATATAAAACTGGGTCATAGTCTAAGGAAGCTCCACGTTCATCTGATGTTTAAGGAGCAAATACTCCAAACAGTTGCACACAACCTAACACAGAGCAGGGATGTGGCACATGCTGAGAAGCTTAATGTTGTTCTTCAGGTGAGCAATGGCTTGCTTTTTGAATGAATGCTGATGAAAATAGTGGCTGGCATATTCCTTAATCTTCTCATGGTCAAATCCCCAAATTTCTGCTAGCAGATTTACTGTAGTTACTAAGAAGTCAGGTAGTCTCATAGATCTGATGGCTACCAACACTGTGCACCCAGGCAGGAGCTTCCCATGACAGAGGTCTGCAAAGAACTCAGATACACATACAGGAAGTAAGGGTTGGCCTTCCCTCAGAACAGCCTGACATGTCCATGTTAGCTGCAAACTCATCCAGCCCATCAGAGATGATCAGTGTACAGCAGGTATTTTCCAGCAGGTATTGGAACACTGCATCAGGGCTGTCTTCTATCTGAAGGAACAGGTCAAACAAAAGCTCCTTCAGAGTCAATTCTTTTTAATAAATTCAGCTGCTGAAAACTCAAACAGGAAAGTGAAGAGAAACTGAGGTAGGTCACCTTCAACCCATTTCTGACAAATGCTGTGCATTAGCATGGTCTTGCCTGTACCCGGTTTACCAGACAAAAAGATCGCCTTCGTTGTGCCTGATGGGACCACACTACAAAACAGATCGGATACATTCAGGCTGTACACACATATTCTTCTGGCTTACTCTGGGGTTCCTCTGTTCCCTCTTTTAAGCAGGAGGTTTTGCTCTGCCAAATGACAAGGTTGACAAGGGCTTGGTTGACAGCCAGTGGCTGCATTTGTTCTTACACTGCTACTCCTGCTGCTCTCCAGCTTCCATATCTCTGGCTGACAGAATCCATGAGGAGATGCTGGTACTTTTTAGGTGCATCTGAGAAAACAATAGAGCAAGTATGACGGTGAAAATGTTAGTTCTGAACAGTGACAGATCCAAAATACTACCCCTTATACACAGAGAAAACATGGTCTTGGTCAGAGGCTGTTCCACACAGGTGGGTAGAGATGACAAATTCTGCGTACACGAAAATAACTTGTAATTTTTCCTACTTTTGCATAGGGGCTGAAGGAAAACAAAATTAAGGGAAAAGGTGAAAGATTTTTTTGTAAAAATTAAATCTTAGTATCTCTTTAAGCTATTGGTACGTTATGCATATAGCCTCCTGTTCATTAGCTCCCTGTTCACCCACACTGGCCTTGTGCCACACTTGTCAGCTTACCAGCACCTTGGGATGCTGTTTTTGCTTTGAGAACTGGAGATCCCTGATGGTACCAGCATCTCTTTGCTGAAGAGAGAACAGTGGCAATCATTAAGGGTGCTCAGCACCTTCTGAAAAACCCTAACCTCACCATCCCAGCAGACAAGATCTGGCATCCTGGGAGCACCTCAAGGCCTTTCCTGTATGCAAACTGTTCATCAGAAAACAGCTCCAGCCCAGCTGCAGCTGCTGGGAGCTTTGCCATGCTCCCTGTGTTCCCATGTGAGACATTGGAGCATGGGCAACACAAAGCTAAAAGCAGAGGTGGAAAAGGGTGGAAGGACAGCTGATGAGGGAAAGGACATAGACTCTGGTGCAGGACAGCCTGCAGGTCTGCTCAGGCTACTCAGTCTTTCCTAGAATTACTCTGGCTCAACTCTGTCATCACTCATCTATTCAGTTCTTTGTTTTAGAGTGAGCTGAAACCATACAAGTTTTAAATGTGCTAGAGAAACTGTGGAGCCTTTAGTGGGTTTTCAATTGCCAGTATAGCTTCTGATTTGGCTTAAAAAAGAGCAAATACAGGGATGACCTACAACAGAATGCTTCACCAGCATATCACACTTCTAACAGAGAGTTCTTAGCCTGTGCCACTCTTCTCCACTAGATTTAGTACAGCTCTGCAAAGGAAGTGGATACTTCTTGTTATTCACCAGGTTCCATTGTCTGTGTATTTTATAACCTGCTGCATTAAGAGTTTATGCAGCTACTAAATAAAAGTTTCCCTCAAGTTGGGAGGTTGGGGTTTTTTTGTGTTTAAATAGGTCCTTCCTCAGAGGCAAGCACACCACTGCTCTGCACTCAGAACTACATACCGAGCTGCTGCTGTTTCACATCCTCCTCACGCATAGAGCTGCTGTGATGGTGACATCGAGCAAAACCTGAAAGTTGAAAAGTCAGAAACATGTCAAATGAGGATTTTGAATGGCGTATTATTAAAGCTGAGGAAGACTCCCCAGCAAAGCATTTGGGCAGCTGGAGAGGCGAAATCAGAGGGAGAAAACTATTTGCAAATTCAGGCTGAGTTTACAGAACTGCTTTTGCAAACGCTGAAGTAAAAGCAGAGGGGTATCTAGCTATAGAAAGTCAGCTTGGGCTGCCCCTCATGAGGCTAATCCATCCTCTAATCTCACCCGAAATATGCTACAGCCCTCAGGAGCGACCAAGGGGTGTGGGTTGGTTTAAAGGCCTTCAGTAATGGAGCTCCCTGAACCTCTCCAGGCAATTCATTCCAACACTTCAGTTTGTTTATAAGGATTTTCCTAGTGAATAACAACAATCTTGCCTGCCTCAGTGTGAACTGCTACCTCTCCGTTCTCTCCACTTGAGTCTTTCTGCAGAGAAATCAAGCAAGTCCTTTGTCTTCCCTGAGACACATGATCAGCTACAAGGATTCAACGTTTTTCTAATACTGGAACATGATGTTGTGCTTCACACAGCTGCTTATAGCCAGATCTTACCCTTCTGAGTCAGCGGCGGCACAGACATCAGAAACAGGGAGGCGCAAGCTTCTGGTGGAATCCTGGCTTTGAAAATCTTTGCAGGAAACAACATGAATTTTGAAAGGCATATTTTCCAAGAAATGTGTTAGGTTTAGCAAATGATGCTTTGATCCTTTTGCTCAATCCCCTCATTTGCTTAGAAGCCCAGTGCCAAGTAGTGCCAGAACATTACAAAAAAACCCTATCACAACAGCTCATCAAAACGTACCCTCAGAAACAGTCCTGCTGGCAGCACAGCTGATGGAAGGCAAAAATAATGAGGTACGTGTTCAGAGGAGCGTACAGCAATAGGGAGAGCATTAATGACCTAATCAAAGACAGCAATGGGTAGTGGAGTTTCAAACATTTGGATGCACATTTAGCAAAAGCTACCTGGTTGGTCAGCAATAGGGAATCTGCCAACCAGGCTGGCCCAGCCCAATCAGAACTTTTACATACTGCAGAGGGGGATAAAGTTCCTATGGTGCACATTAGGAACATGGTAGTGAAAACAGCCAGAGTTATTCCTGACTCAAGCCACGGCAAACTCACTCGTGGGATTTCTTTTGGTCAAGGACCTGGTGAATTTGTTGGGTAATGTGGGAAGATGGGGAATTCCAGTGTATACCTTGAGAAGATTTGATTTTAGGTGAGAATAGCCAGTAAATTAAACTGTATGCCGTTAACTGCCATATGGCACTGCATATTGCCACTTCCGTGAGGGCTCTATGCCATATCAAGGGTCCTATAGATCAATGAAGAATCATCTCTGGTGAATCTGGGCAAGCGCAGCAGTGTAAAGAATACGAGAATGATTCATGTGAAGAACTTGGGAATCATTGTTACCAATGCACCTGTGACCAGTGTACCATGTATAATAAATGTTGCTGTCAATGTAATGACGGGAAAGAAGAGGAAACAAGGGAATAGACTAGTCCCCTCTTTAATCATTTTGACTGTTAAAGTAATAAGGGTGCTTTATGGCTTTGTTTTACTGCTTGAGTGCTTTAAGGAAGGGGTTGGGTAAAAGTTTCTCAACCAGAGACAAGACCCCAGCAACCAAGGAAGAACAACAGAAAGGAGCCACGTCAATGTAAAGGAGAAGGCAGGATTGGCTGAGACCCAGGACCACAAAGTATAAAAGATTGAACCCCAAAGACCCCGGTGTGCGTCACTGGCGGCGTGGAGACTCCCCAGCGCACCCAGCGCTGCTTGCTTATTGCCTCTCAATATTAATCAATTGTAACAAAATAATTAAATCAGATCTGGTATATTTTAAAACTTTTGTAATTCCTGCATTTGTGGGTCAGGAAAATTTAAAAAAAAATTTGCAATTTAACATCTACAGAGTAAAAATGCAGTATTTCGGTTTTTTGTCTTCAAATGAATGTATCAAAACATCTCATCATTGAGAAACTCCTGAGCTACTACTGCATCCATGTTTTCCCTTCTCACAGCTATCACAATCCTCTCCACCCTCACAAGAAGCAGTAGGGAATCCCTACAGCACAGCATCCCTTTTTCCCAAATAGACCAAATTAGTCTCTCAAGAACACTAATATTCTCTCTGGGCAAAGTGACTTTGACCTGGCAGACACTTCCAGCTTGGGAATCCTGATGATATGACCACGCAGGGTCCCACAAGTTCCACAGAATCTTCCATCCTCAAATCAGGCCAATTCCTACTGAAAGGGTGAAGAAAGTGCCCACAAACAGCAGCCAGGCCTAGCAGTGGCGAAAAAGCACACCTGAAAATATGAACTATTGCTATTTGCTCCAGTAACTATTTTTGGAGGTCCTGATCTTACCCCAGACATTATGGTTAAAGGCAAGACTAAACCAAGTGGCTTGGTTGAAAAGGCTTGTAACTGTTGGACACAACAGAGAAGGCTGCCAGTTCTCACTGATGAGACACTGACCATGTGAATGAGGCACTTATGTTCTCTCTGCCTAGCCTGGTCTGTTAGCTCTGGGGGCCAAGGCATTGGCTGTGTTTGGAGATGGTTAGAGAAAGCTGGCCATTACCTTCTCCTGCTGAGCTCATGAGCTGTGTCTCCAGGTCCAGGGGGAGGTCCCATTCCATGCAGAGGCACTGTACAAACTGTTTCCAGGTGGCAAGGCCAGTCTCCTCCAGGACAAGGAGCACGACACTTTTTCTTTGTGGTTGGTGATCCCATCTAGGCCATTCAGGGCCAATCCTGGGAGGAAGCACTGGGAGGTCGTGAGCAGCCATACGGGATGGTGGCTGAGGAGCTCCACTAGCTGGGAGTGGGCACTGACTACATTCAGGTCTAGATTGACACTGAAATGGTGGTTAGAGGGTAGCAATGGGCATAGAGGTGAGAGATGTTCACACACACAGCCATGCTGTGGAGCAGCCAGCACAGCCCTTGATGACTTGATCTGCTTTTCTAGCCCTGGTCTAACTCAGAATAGCCTAGCTGCTGTACTGAGTGTAATGTGGACACTCCCAGCCCAGCCACGATACAGTGCAAGGACCACAGTCCTTACCTGCACACTGCCTAACTCAGCAGCACTGTGAAGGGCAGGAGCAAGCAACAAGAGTCAGTCTCTCTGGCATCAGCCAAAGAGAAGCTCTGTTGACATCTGTATCTCTACAGTGACCACATCACATATGACAAGCTTCACATGCAGCAGGAGGCACATGAAGGGACTCTAAGAGCAAGATATTTCCCTCATCAAAGCGCTCAGACAGCTGTTCTTGCTGCTCCTTTTGTGGGGATGAACAACTCGTTTCTGCTTTAGTGTCAAAGTCTCTCTCCACTTTCACTTCCTTCCCACAGCAAACCTGTGCAATTACAGTCTCCTACCTGCATTGTTGTGTGGTCAGCCTCCTGTTAGTTGCCAAGTGCAAAGACAGCTTCTGCTCCATTCCCTGATGAAGAACTGAACTGCTAGCAGCAGCACTTCAGCACACCCCAACCCACGGTGCATGCCCATATGCGGTTGTCTCACTCCATGTAGATGCCTAAGGATTGTAACACAGCAGGATGCAGATAGGAAAGGACATAGGCAATTACACAGATCACAGATCTAGAGCTCTGCCTTTGATCCCAGGGTCAGCTCTGGAGCTTTTAATCTTTAGGTAGCAACTTCCACTCAAACCAGCAGTGACCACAGCCTGGACATTTGAGGACCCACTACTGGTGTGATAAAAACGCAGGACTGAGTCTTGTGCCCTAAGATGCAAGTGAAGACAGGCTTTACAGGAGCAGTTTAAAGGAATCACAGCTTTCCTGGTGTCATCGCCCTGTCCAACCTGGCCTGAACACTGCCAGGGATGGGGCAGCCACAGCTTCTCTGGGCACCCTGTGCCAGCGCCTCAGCACCCTCACAGGGAAGAGCTTCTGCCTAAGAGCTCAGCTCAGTCTCCCCTCTGTCAGTCTAAACCCATTCCCCCTTGTCTTGGATCCTGGTTTAAGCCCAGCTGATAACCCAGAACCATGCAGCTGCTCGCTTATGACCCCCCCCTTTTTCTCCTCCCCTTTCTGGGCAAGATGGGGAGGAGAAACGAAAGTATACCCCAAGGGTTGAGATAAGAACAGTCCAATAACTAAAGTATAACATAAAAATACTAATACTAATATTATTGCTACTAATAATAATAATTATAAAGGAAATAACAAGGGGAGAGAATACAAAACTAAAAGGGGAAAGGGAAAAACCCAAGAAACGCAAGTGATTCCCAGTACAATTGCTCACCACCCACTGGGCAGCACCCAGCCTGACACAAGCAGTGATCTAGCCCTTCCAGGTAACTCCCCCAGTTTATATACTGGGCATGATGCACTGTGGTATGGAATACCCCTTTGGCTAGTTTGGGTCAGGTGTCCTGTCTCTGCCTCCTCCTGGCTTTTTGTGTCCCTCTTCACTGGCAGAGCATGAGACTGAGAAGTCCTTGGTCAGGGCAGGTGCTGTTGAGCAACAACCAAAACATGGGTGTGCTACCAACACTGCTCTCAGACTAAAAAACACAGCACTGCACCAGCTACTAGGAAGGAAAAGGATAACTTTTACAACTGAAACACTGACATCCGGTCACTATAAACCAATTTCAAAAAGTCCCACTCCAGGTTTTGCTCAAATTGCTCAAGATGTTTGTCCTGCTTATGTTTAAGAGGATATTCCTTCACCATAACCCACCACTCTCTGCTCTCTCTGTACTGCCACTTCGAACAGCCTTGCATGTTTATGAGACTAAGCCAAATAAATGCAGCAAAAGTATGTGAGCTGACTGAGTGCTGCAGCAGAGGACGGGGTAGAAAGGGCCTCATCAGCCTTGTCTGTTCCTGCACTCCAAAAGACAAGCAGACATCCCACAAAAGCAAAGCTGGTGACACTGGATGCTCTTTTACTGATCTCTGATCCTTCAGGTCAAAACCATGTCAAAGTTGGTGTGTGATAACATAGCGTTGCCATATACTGCTATAACAGAGCATCACTGCAAGAAAGACTTTTTCCAGGTTCCCATTCCAGATGAAGCTTTCAGGATGTGTTTTGTGAAAAGGGAGGCATCTCTGGGATCCACCAAAATGTGGGCAAACCCCCCAGTTTGTAAAAAGCCTCTAATGCCCATCACTCACTATTCTAACAAAAACAACATCAAAGTTCCTGATGAAATGCTAAAAAAGTTGGGCTTAACCAGGATCAGTTTTCTCCTCAGGCATAAATCCAAAAATTCAAACCCTGAATGTCTTGCAAAGGACTCTGCAAGTTTTCATTCAAAATTTTTATTATGAAATGCATTTTATATTCTCAGTTATACAAATAAAGAAGGCTAACAGTAACACATACATTAAAAACAAAGGGAGCAATGGAAGACTTAAAAATAAAACATTTAAAATTTTCAAATTTTAATAAACTGCAAAATAACATGGTTTCTGGAAAAAAAAAACAAACCCAGAACACTCATTTCCCAGTAGCCTGATGAGTCAAACTTTAAGGACTTTCATTTTACATTTCCCCAGCCAAGAAAAAAACCCAGACACCTGTAGACAGCAACACCCGACTTTATTCCCCTGGTGATGACGAGCCACTACTTAATATTGAATATAAATATTGAATCATGCCAATGAAGACTGGAAGCCATTCAGACAAAGAAAGACTATGAATTAATTTCATATGAACTGATGAACGACTCATATTCAAGAAGTCTACACTGAGAATTTAGATGAAAACGCAGGTGGTGCTTGCAGCTCTTGTGCTACTACTGTTCCACTAAATAAGGCCATCAGAAATGATGGGCACTGACCTACAATAAAACACTTCTCAGCTCAGAATGAAGCACAAAAACCTCCTGAGACAGGAAACGTTTGAGCCTTGACCCCTGGCCTCACCCTTCAAATGTAGAAACACCATTAAAACACATTAAAAAACCACTCCTCGCCTCACCTCCCCAATTCCCACCATTCCCAGCCACAAAAAAACAACCAGATTTGAAGCTGTGACAATTTCTTGCAGTGTCTAATGAGCATTGGCTACATACCAAAAGTCCACAAACAGAGCAGTGGCACTGAAACCAAAGTGGGGTCACAAAACAGAGGGGCTGGGGGACAATGTCCACTGCCTTCATCTCTTCACTTGTAACCCACCTCTTCACTGAGGTATGCAGCAAAATGAAAGTAAAACCATCTAGGAATTCCCCAACTGCAGCTCCTCTGTGATAACAGCAGTGAGGTGAGTGAAAACACCCACCCAGAAAAGCAGAAGAGTGTTTTCCTTAACTAAAATATATATAGCTAGATGATAATTCAGGTAGATTTGGGGGAGTGATCCAAAGAAATGGGACTTGGGGGTGAATACTCTCTGTGGAGCAAATTCTGACTTGGTTGTGGTTAAGGCTCTTGCAATGGGAACATTTTTATTTATATGCATTTACTCTGGCACACAAAGAAATATTTATTTACTATTTTCTTTATATCTAAGGGGGGAAAGCAACATGGCTTTCCTTGGGAATAGGGACAAGGTTTAAGTGAGAGCAGATATAAATAACCTGAGAATAAACCCCAGGTATCTAAATAGAACTGTGTGCAGAGACCTCAGATCTAGCCAGATCAGATGCAGCAAACTAATATTATTAGTATTTCTCTATACACCAGAGAAGCGATGCTGGACAATCAGATGCAGCCTGCACCTGAGTCCCACACAAGGCAAGGTGGTAGACACCACTGTTTCAAAATTCACTTATCAGAAAATGAGTAAAAGGGAAAAACAACACCCCCCAAAAAAAAACCCACAACCAAACACATGTCCAGCAATGCCCACAACTCCAGACAGAAACACCTGCTCCACTTATCAGGCCTTGAGTAGGGTGCAGAGGATGGGGGGAGCTCTGAGAGAACTGGCATGGTTAGAGGGGACCAATGAGTGGATGAAGGAGAACAGGGGTAGATGGTGAGGGACCAGAGGTGGATGAAGGGGACCAGGGGTGGAAGGAAGGGACGGTGGGGTGGATGGTGTTTCCACCAGACCACAAGTTGCCACTGCACTACCAATGCAACCCCTTTATGGACAAGCTAGCAATTTTGTGCCTGAAAATCCCCAACAACATCCTTGACAGACTCCCATATATCACTTCAGTTAGGAAAAGCTGTGATACTGGTAAGACCAAGCCATTAGGCCTTAGCTGAAATAACTTTACTTTTTAGCATGAGTATGACTTAGCACCTAAATGTGACTGCTCACTCAACACGGGACCCCTCTGAGGGCTGAAACCTGCCCCTGAGAGGGCATGATAATGTGTTAGAATTTTGACCTGCAAACTGCTTGTATCTGCTTCTGTAAATTGCTTCTTAAGCAGGGACATCCCTCATGTTAACATCCCTAATGTTAACAATTTAAACAGAGAACTAAGCACGTAGCTCGCAGGTATTAGCAGTTGATCAATGCTACTAAAGCTAAAAGGTAATCAATAAACTGTTGTTGTAGCCCTAACCCAAGTGGTGAGGAGGATGAGAGAACTACAGTTATATAACTTGCTGAATTGTCTGTGTGCATGCTTCAGATAAAATCGTATCAAGATCAGAATGTAAAGTAGAAAAAACCTTGACATTTACTGTGCTTTGGAGACATGTATGGAAGTTAGAACCTCACGTGCTCCTGGCACCAGCAAAGATCTGTGCTTTACAGTGAACTGATTTCTTTGAATCACTGGTTTGGAGAATCACTATAGTTTGGAGAAGAGGAGATTGAGGGGTGACCTTATTAGTGTATATAAATATATAAAGGGGGAGTGTCACGAGGATGGAGCCAGGCTCTTCTCAGTGGCAAACAATGATGGGACAAGGGGCAATGGGTACAAACTGGAACACAAGAGGTTCCACTTAAACTTGAGAAGAAACTTCTTCTCAGTGAGGGTGACGGAACACTGGACAGGCTGCCCAGGGAGGTTGTGGAGTCTCCTTCTCTGGAGACATTCAAAACCCGCCTGGACACGTTCCTGTGTAACCTTATCTAGGTGTTCCTGCTCCGGCAGGGGGATTGGACTGGATGATCTTTTGAGGTCCCTTCCAGTCTCTAACATACTGTGATACTGTGATACTGTGATACTGTGTTTGATCCCAGCACCAGGGAGCAAAAGGCATCTCCATGAACGCATCCAACCTTACCCCTGGACGCAGAAAAGCAACAACCGCGGCCACCCGCGCCCGCCCGCACTCCGAGCGCTCACGGGGGACTCCTGCTCCAGCCGCGGTACCCACCGGAGCGCTGCCCGGCGGTCACAGGGGCAGCGCCGTCCGCTTCAAAACAGAAGCTGCCCGACGGCCGGCGGAGCACGTGGGGCAGCGGCATCGGCTCCCTCCCGGGCTCGGCCACCGCCGCCTCCCTCAGCTCTGCTCCTGGCACTGGGCTGCGCCCTCACGTCGGGGGTGGGAGTTGGGGGTCCGGGGGGTGCGCGGGAGGCGAAGGCGAGGCCCGGCTGGGCTCAGCGGCTGCCCGGCCCTGCACTGCGCCGCCGTTTCGCGGTGGTGCCCTCTGGGGTCTGCTGGACGCTTCCCTCATTCTCCCTTCAGCAGAGCCCCTGCTCTCTATGCTAGGGGAGCCGGCTTCTGCAGCCCCAGTGAGTGGGCCCCAGCAGGCGCCTTTGGCTGGCATGGCATGGCAAGGCACCTCTAAGGGTGAATAGAAGGTGGTGTTTTTTCCCTGCCATTTCTTTTTTATTAGTGCTTGTCACTCCACTGGAATGTCAGGAGGACTTGACAGGCTTGACAGAAGCCAGTTCCCATAGAATTAAGCAGGCATTCCCATGCAGACAGGGGACACGTCACCTCAGTATCAGTGGCTTTAGAGCAAGAGGGAGCACGGACAAACCTGTAGCTGGTACTGAAAAAGCCAGCAGAGACAGCATGGGGACAGGGTGGGAAGGGAGGTGAGAAGGTGCCCACTGCACCAGGGCTTCTTCAAGGCTACCGCTGGCCCTGCTATGGTGTCACTGTGAAAGCTGCAGTGTCATGGACACGGCTGGTTGAGGCTCAGCAAAGATAAACCTTCCTTGGCTGCCGTGGAGCAACCTGCAACCTGAGCCCACTCCATGTGCTGCAGTCTGCTCCTCCACCAGACTTGGCACCAAGTCCACTGAACAGATGTCAAACCCAGCCATTGTGTGGAGCAGGAAGCACTGGGGAGGTCAGAGGCTCATTCCCCAGGGTGTCCTCACCCATGACAGTGCTAGGGAAGCAACCACCATGCCCCAGAAGCTCAAGAAACCGAGGCTGTCCTGTTGCCAGCCTCATAGGATTCTTTCCAGGAGCCCCAGCTTTAATACAGTTTTGTGTGGAAGAAGAACATCATCCTCTGCCTTTGTTAATGTGATCACTGCTACAGCCTTAGGTGTGCTGTCTAAGATCCCTTCTAAGTGAAGAGACAAGTATAAAACAAGGAAGCATGAATTAGTACATGAAAATAACAGGCACTTCAAATAAATTGTAGGAAGAAAGAGGAACCTGCTGTCTAACTGGACTCCTGCTCTTTCTCTTCTGATCTTTTTGGCTTCCTTATAATTTTATTTGCTTTTCTCAAGCTTGTTCCCATTGTCTCAACAACACGGGCATCGCAGTTTACCTGGAGCTCTACAAAGAGTACAGGCTGTGTATAAAAAGCACCCAGGGTGCAAGGTCTCTGTTACTGTACTGCACTGACAGTTCACATCCATTTACATTTTTTCACCCACACCCAGGTCTTTTAGTATAACTGGTTCTGAGTTTACTTGAGTTCGGTAGTGTCACTGGAGTTGTCAAAATCAGGAGCCTCTTGGCTCATGGTAGAAATGAAACCCAGCATCAACACAAAAGATGCAACATTTCCATAATGTAATAACGAAGATGCCAGAAGGTAAGCAAAGCCTATTTCTGCTGCCTCCCCTGAGTGCTCATCCAGAGCCCATGTACTTCAAAAGTCCAAGCCTTCCTCCTAAGCACACAAGTCCTTAAAGGTTCCAGAGAAGTAATGTGCATAGAAGTGCAGAATTCAAGATTGTTGCAGAGGAAAGGCTCCATGGAAGTACAGTTGCACAAAAACTGGAGCATTTATTACAAAAAGGAAAGAAAATTAAACTGAAACTCATTTAAATCAGCTCATCTTTTAATTTTAATTCACACATGATCTTTCTGTTTGTACACAAATTCCTGGGCTCCTTTAAGAAGAGATCAGCTTTATAATCTATTTTGAAGAAAATCAAGAAGCAAATGATTCGGGAAGCTAAAGTCAAGTTGTACAATTATGTATCCCTAAAAAGGGAGGATAAAAGAGAAAAGTATCGTATTAGTTTATGTCACACTCCCAATAAGGGCTTTAAGATCCAGGTATTTCTAAATTCTGCTTACCTTTCTTGTGATGATCTCAGGATTTCTGATCTCAAATAGATGAAGCCCTTTGCTGTTCATCAGTGAAGTCAAAGCTGGTTCGATCCCTATGGAATCAGTAAACCAATGCAGTTACAGGTACAGCCATCCTGGCTTGCTGCTCATCATGTGCTGCTACATTTTCTGCCTCTTGCCAAAAGCTGGTTGTGCCTCAATGCCTCACAACCTTCAGCCTGACAGAACACTTACTTTTCCTTTGTCCCAGCCATTTACAAAAGGTTCCCCATTCCCCAAGTGAATCCAGCAGAAATTTACTTCAGTAATGTGGTCCCTCAAAGCTGTCAGGGTTATTGATGTATTTTTTAACGCTTAGGTTTAGGAGTCCTGGTGTTAAACACTTTAATGGAGTAGGCTGGCACTTCCCCAAAGGGAAAACTCACTTGAAATCACTTCTGGGATCCCAACAACCGAGATCATTGTCTGCAGGAAGTTTCTTATGGATGGGTCATTCTAAAAGCCAGAAAATTCATACACAACAGGTTTTAAATACATCATTTTGCCACAGATGGCCTGGAGAATACTTTCATAGGACTTACCTCACTTGGATCAGCTGTGCAGTTAAAGACTTTAAACTCTATCCTGAAGGGAAGGACAAAAAGGAGGGGGGAAATCATTACAGGCTGCAGAGATCCTCTTGTTATGCTGCTCTCAGATACAGGCTAAAAAAGGCAGAGAAACCTCCCCCCAGAGACCACAGTACCAACCTGGAGTCCAAAGGGTGCAGAATTAGTTTCTTTTCTGCATAAGCAGCTTGGATGGTGACCGTGATTTCCTGCACAAAGATGAACAAACAGCAGGGTTGAGACGTAGCTTATCTTGCCTTACAGCAGCAAGTTTCATTTGGTCATTTTGGTTTACTTTTTATGACCCAGAGTTCAACATCCTTCTGGCTTTGCCTCCAGATATTACTAGAGCAGGTCATTTTCCTTCTCTATTTGCATGCAGTGAATTCCTCCCTGATGCCCAGAGCCTCAGCCTGTGGTGTTCTACACTGGCTTATTCACAGGACTGATGCTTTTGCCATTTTGTGAACCAAATCCTGCTTATGCAGGAAAGAAATGGTTATATAGGGTGATGTTTCCCAATGACCATCCAGTTCAACACAAAGATTGTCAGATAGAATGTGGAGAGAACAACCACGGATACTACAAGTAGCCTTCCTATAGTGTTTGCATTTATAACAAAACTAAAAAAGAAAGCAGTCTCTGAATTCTGGCCATTTAGGATCATTTTCTTGCTTCTGCCTGTATGCAAACATCCATTTAAAAGGAGCGTTTTGTGATCCAGGAGGCTTGCAGGCCAGGAGCAGATCATATCCTGATGGCCACAGTTCTGGGCACCACCTCTAGTTCAGTAGTTTCCTACCAGAAATTAGCTTCAAGAGATCACCTGAAGCAGAAAGACCAGCCTGGAATACTCTGCTCATGTGGGATGCTTGCAGAAGGCAGGAGGGAACTCTACTCAGTTAGGGTTTAAGCCTTTAAATTGAAGAGGCCAGTCTACCCTTAGGCAGGGATTTGCTTTTATGCAGTGTTTGGTGTCCATACCAGCCCATAGTTACAAGGCTGGACAGACATACTGCTTTCTTGTGACGTTACCATGACAGCAAGGCTGTTCACATTTCTTTTTTCTGCCTCCTTTGATTCAGTATAAAGGAGTTTGGGGTAAAACACAGTGTAAGCAGGAACTTTCATACAGGCATATATAGTGGAAAGGGTTGTATTTTGAGCTTCGCATTCTCCAGAGATGTACCTCCGTGTCATGAGAACCATCTTCCAAGCAGGGACCAGAGCTAGAATTTGGGAATGAGGAAGTCTGAAGTTTCAAAATAAATACATTCCCGTGGTGCCTTCATTCTCTCCTAAAATACCTCAGCTAAAGGGGTTCACTGTGTCTGGTACAGGTTAAGGGGAGCTCATCAGAGCTTTCTGCTGCTTTTACCACCTTGCACACCAGTGATGGGCTAGCCTAATAGGGGAGGCACTGAGCCAGCATGATTGCTGTCATCATTCCCAGCTTTAGCTGTTGAGGGAAGAGATGGAAGTGTTAAAAGGAACCGATATGCTTTCTCCATCTCCCAGGGTTCAGCCACCCACCCCTCCCAAGGTCTTCACAGTCAGGAGAAGCAAGAACTGACCTTCTCCATGTACAGAACCATCAGGGACTCTTCTCCCACAGGAAGGGTGCTGACCTCCACTGCTACCAAGGACTTCACGACTGTCCCTTCAGGCTGAACAGAGATTTGGGGATGGGCAAGACTCCACACCCTGGCCACAGAGTCATTATAGGAGGTGCCTTTAAAAATCTGGTCAAGTGAGGAACAACAGAAGAGTCAGGCTTTTTCCCACAGAAATGCGTCCCTTCTGTAGTCCCAGTTTTTCCTCCAGCTCACACAATCCCAGTAATTCAGCTGGGTTGGAGGGAAGCTGTGCCAGCTTGGAGGGTGAAGAAATCCTTGCAAGACACAGTTTCTCCATCAGTCCCTGGTTTTCCCCATCAGGCCCACCCAAGATTCAAGTTGTCAAGGGAAGGACACTGTTGTTCCAGTGCAACAGAATCTATTTGAAAAGTTCTTCATTTGACATAAACCACTTTGAATAAGACCAAAGTTACCATCTGCACCGCATTCCGCTGGGCTTCCGTATCTTCCATTTCAAACAGCGCCTTCAGAAACAAACCAGAAACAGGTTGTCGAAAGGCACAAGAGAGGTATGGTCAGCCCTGATGCAGGCTGGATGGCCAGAGTGGCTTGTGGCCAGGTCAGAGGCATGGCTAATTTCCCCCTGAGCTCACCCCTTGGCTACCTCAGTACTCCCACAGAGAGCCACATCACTTTGCAGTTCAGAAGGCATGTTTTCTACCAGCTGGTGTTACTGCTCTAAGGTATAGCACTGCCTGGTAGCACATTCTTGCTAAGAAGGCACAAATTTC